CAAGTTTCATGGCATTATCATGCAAGAGAACTCCTCTTTGTTTTAAGACAAATGAAATGGTAATGTTTCATTATTTGTTCATATGTAAATAACAGTTCTTGCCCTGAAAAGGTAATGCAAATACTTGGGAGTGTGCTGTAACATCACTTTTGTTAAGACTAGATCAGTTTAATTAAATTTGAAAGTTGATGCAGAGATTGGTTTTGATCAAAGGATTAATTGAGGATATGAGATGATTTTTTACGTCAACAAGCGGAGTGCTAACCAATTAATAAGTATTCCACCTTTTCCAAGCCCCCAAAGTATCTTTCTCAATATGTCCGCCCACAACAAGTGACAGCTATCGTTCCTCCGATCAATCACTCGTTTTTAATAAATTGCCCATACGTAATCATTACGAACCTAACTAAGTAAATTTTAATATATACAGTACAGAAAATTATATACAATATGAAAATTTTAAAACAAAAACCCTGCACCTACCTACAACTAGTTATTCATTTGACTTTGGCCGGTAACGCACTAGTATTATACTATGGCACTAGGCAGCTAGGCTGCGGTAACCAATCCCATACATGAATGCTTGCACACTAGACGGGCTCGAATAAGTCGCGTGTGGGACTGGCTGCCGCAGCTAGGCTGCCTAGTGTGTTGCTGGCCTTATAAAATGAGACGATGTCACTCTGCTCGATCTGGAATCGCGTTCCACATGTCCAGATCTCCAAAATTTAGATATGACCTTGCTTATTAGATAAGTGCAATATATATCCACAGATAGTATATTTAAATCTGTGATATATCCATTGCAAATAATAATAATAACAAACCGTTAAGAAAGACGTAATAATTAGAAGACGAAAATGTTTTTGGAGTGTCCCATATTGTACTAAAAGAATAAATTTTTCTGAATTTATCGACCAACCTCCAATATGACTACCTTCGTATGATCCAAAGAGGCTTAACACCTAATCGCGTAATGATCCACGCCGCTGTAAATACCATAAATATTACGTCACATAGCTTTTTACATCTTACTAATTTAGAATCTTTGCAGTATCCTGTATCCAAGTAAAGTCGATGGTTTATCTTGATCCTTGCGTAATCTCAACCACCGCTCGACTTCGCGCTCGCTCCAGTCTAACTGTTTAGCCAATCCCAAAATCTGAAACAAAATTTGCCATACCACAGATAAAATACCCATTTTATCTGTGACCATACCAAGCCAAACCTTGGTAATTCCTACTTTTTCGCGCCTTAATTTTTGGCCCGACACGTGCGACGTTTCTAACAAATTATTTAGGGCCGCTTTTCTTCTGGCGTGCTTAATGCCCAACGCTTTGCCAATGGGATTGAAGACAAGACAACTCCGGTTTCGGTTTCGAATATTCCAATTCTGTTTTCAGCATTTTGTTTATAATCATCCAAGAAAGAACTGATTAAATGTTCAGTGACCCAGGAGCTGTTTTGCTATAATTGTTACAAGTTTATTAACGAGCGTTTATGATTTTGGACTTTCTGCCCGTCCGCCCGTCTGTGGACATGTGGCGACCATTTACTCAGTTAGGCACTGTCGTTTCCACGACGACGAGAATAATAAAAAAAGATCAATCAATAAAAATTTGTCAACATTTAAAAAAGTTAATTCGTAGTTTATAATCGAGATTCAACGTTGGGAATAAGCATAAAGAATTCCCACAGACACGATAACTCACTAAAGGTTTTTGAATTTTCCAATTCTGTTCTATGAATAGATAGGTAGGCAATGGTCAAGGGACTAATTGATTAAATTTTGGTCAATATTCGTCAACCGGAAGTGACTTTGTCGTTGAGGGTTGTCAATATTGGTGGTCTCATTTTAGGTTTCAAGACCAAGGCGTGAAAGGTGTATGAGACTTTTTTGTACAGCTCATCAAGACACATCTTTTTCTGTATTTCACATTTTCGCTGTGGGGCTTACTTTCCCAGAAAAGTGCAAATTTAAAAAAATCATAAAGTAAAAAGTTTAACTTTTCAATTTAAAATTTCCCAAAAACTAAGACACTCACAAAATTACTGTAATGAACTCTCACCGTTAGCCGGTGTATGCAAAAAACTACAAAACATTTTTTCAAGCCGTTATGACTTTTAAACGTTTGATACCTTCAAAAACCCTGATGGCGGAAACGAACCGAAACGGAAGGAGAAAGAGGACATTTGCAATCAGCTTTGTAGCTCAGTGGTAGAACGTTGGGCTACAAAACAGAAGGTCGGGGTGTTCGAACCTGGACTGAGGTAGAAATTTTTCATCTGTAGCAGAGATTTTCCTTAGATCAGTTTCGAGCATTCTACCGGCTACTCCGAATTAGGTTTTCCTAATTCGAAAGGGAAAAAATGATCAAAGTCCTCGTGTGAGATCGAAGGGAGTTCAGCGCATTTTTGTGTGGCAGATCAGTGTTTTATTAGCCAATATTGACTCCACCATCAATAAGATCTTGCCGAAAGCTACCACGTTCACTTTGTCGGTACCATTTTCTCACTTACCGTGCACTCGCAATTCGCGTTTGAAGTTTCGACTCCACCATCAGTAAGATCTCGTCGGGGGTTACCACATTCCCTTTGTCGATACACAGTTCCGACGTCCCGTTCATTCGTAATTCACATTTTGGTAGATTTCGCTAAAATCCCGGCATAAAATCGTATTCAACTTTTGGGTACTTCACATAGCTCGACCTTCTATTAGTGACACGAGAAAGAGAGACCGCGATTCGCGCTGTAAGAAACTTTTGGGCGCCCAAAGTCGACTACCCCTCGAAGCGCGCCGCGCAAAAGGTGGTTTATTTCGCCCCTAGGAAAAAAAACAAAATTCCGCCACGCAGGAGTTGTGCGCGTTGACAAGATCTTCCCGACGACACCAATTTGAAAACAATCGGAGAAAAACTGTAGAAGAAGATAGATAAAAACTGAAAAATCTCCAGGTTAGTATAATACGCTCGGGGATGGCGTCCAGATGTCGTCGACTCCAAATCTTGTAGCCCCATCCCTAACGTTCTTAATTACACGGCCCCGATAGTTACATGTACACTCCTTGTCTTTTTACAAGCGTTTTTCTACGGGCGCGCATTTACTGCCAGCCAGCCAGCCAGCCAGCCAGCCAGCCAAAGTGAGATTAAAAGCTACTTTTTACAAAAAAAAATTTTTGCAAAAATGCGCTAAAAACCGCAGTAGTAAAGAACAACTTACGACCTTCTACAGGTAATTGGGCGTAAGTCTGTTGAGAGCCTAGAACAAGAGGGATAATAAATAAATAAATAGAAAAATTCCCCATGCCAGCCTATATACATATTCCAAATTTCAACAAATTCGTTTCAGTCGTTTTTGAGTTATCGTGTTCACAAAAATCAAACCACATACATGCAGTTTGAAAGGGTCAAAACAAAAATTTATTTACCCTGTACAGTTTTGGTATCACCGCAAATTTGGCAGCAGCTGCAAGGCACCCTGTTCGCACGGATCGTCAAATGCTTTCGTAAATAGCTTTGTGCATGGTCTACATTAGAAATCTCATTGAATACCTTCATAAATAAAATATACAGCATGCGTTAACAGTAATTTTGAAACCGGTATTAGTTTCTTTCAAAGTGCCTACATATGATATTTTGTTTAACTGCTTTCATAAATAAGGAAGTTGCCATTGCGCATGCGCAAAACCAAATTTTAAAACTGGTGTGTTAGATGTATAAAATTTCATTTAAATGCTTTCATAAATAAGAAATTTGGCATTGCGCATGCTCAAAACAACAGTTTGGAAACGTCGTTAATTTTACTATATCAGTTTCATTTAAATATCTTCATAAATAAAAAAGTTAGCATCGCACATGCGTTAAACTAAATTTTTGACACTGCGCAAAACCAAAAAATATGGATATGCACGGAATCCTTGGACCAAGCCCTTCCAAATGAGTCCTGTATCGATATCGCCAAAATCGGTTCAGTGGTTTAGGAGTACGTGTGATGGACAGACGGACGTCAAAGTGCAGTCAATAGCGATTTTTCTTTCTTGTGCCCCTCTTAAGCTTAACCATTTGGAAATCGCGACTTTAGAAGGGAATGAGATAGGTACATTATAATTTTATACCTATAATGGACGGCCAATGGATGTTCAATGTGTGGAAGAACTACACGCTGTTATTATGTACGGAAGTGGTTATGCTCATATGTATGCTCATTTTATGTACATGGACCAAATTCGGATGTTCATTGTTTGTACTGTTGCCTCGGTGGAAGTATGACCAAAAAAGCTGCTGTATGCATATGCAACTTTCAAAAAAGTGGAATTGACAATACATCGATACCAAATTCAATTCCTGCCGCAGAGCGCCTGGGCGTGAAACTATAATTCTTGGCTGACCAATATTACCTTAGAAAACTTACTAATACACACGAGATACCTATTGCACAACAAAACTTTCACGTGCTGCTGATACAAAAGTCTCAGGTGAGTGAAGTCATATATCACGTTGAGACTTTCTCTAGATGACCGATATTAAAGTCACCTACCACAACTGCATCAGGGCTTTGTGGTTACAATCACTGTTCTGAGAGTAGCAGCATAGTTTTTCCCAATCCATCATCTTTTTTCATAGTTTAGTTTAATGTAACCCAATTTTAAAATGCTATGGACCATATAGATTATTGCAATGAGGTACAGTAGAACACCTGCGTGGAAAAATTTAACACAAAACATAAGAGGATTATATACCAAATTAAAATATTATAAAGAAAATAAAAATACAGAAAGCAACAACAAATATATAAAGTAAACAATTCAATTGCACTAAATTGGTTCGTGTCATTAGGTCAATTAAAGAGTGTTAGAGAATGTATCGTATAATTTTACTGAATAGGCAATACAATAAAGATGGGGCTTACGAAATGTAATATATTAGCAATTACTTTAATACTGTTTGTTAAAACATAATCCTCAAGCATTCATTTTAACAACTTTTAGAAATAATGGTCGGTCAAGCACAATACAATATATTTTCACATGTTTTTGACATTCATACATAATCGCAAGTGTTCTTAAAATAAAATAATTATATTTAACTAACTATGTTTAGCAGTGAACTGCAATATATTTTAACCATCTTACAATACCACTTCATCATTTATTTAAATTATTTTAAAGTGGGTTCACATTTCCGAGACAAATTCTATTTTCCGGCTTTACAAAAATATGAAAATAGAATGTGTCTATTGTACTCAATTAAAAATTCACAAAGTTAAGAACATGTTTATTTCGTAATACAGAATGACAAACGGGAATGTTCCAAATATCCACAAAAGAGTATAATCAACTTTATTCTCTTTTTATTTTAAATTCCTATTGAGACACATACTGTGTGAAAAACTTTAGCCTGACGGCTAATAATATAAAAAAGAAGTCTTAATAACAAAATACAGTTTTTTATATTCTATTCAACCGAAAAATAAACAATAAAATTTCGAGCGAAGCTCATAAAAAGGTCTAAGAAGAGCATTGTACTTACCATATGTTACAAAAATAACAAATTTTCTGTTCGTCCCTGTACATATTTGTAAAATAAATAATTAGCTATTATAAGGATATCATTTAACTTACGAAATAAATACAAATGAAGGTTATGTATTATCTACAAACACAGTTTGTCCAACGTACGTGATTGACTTTCGATTGAGAAGTAAAACGTAAGGTGTTCTAATAGTATTAAAAATGCCTCCGTACATTAGACAAATGGTGAAAAATATCATATTTGCAACATACGGTTAAGTAACACTTGTAGTTCATTCAGTTCTTTGTAATCCACCAAATTGGCGATCATCAATAAACACAACACTTCACTTAACGATTGGCGTTCTTTAGTTGATTGGAGAGCCAATCCAAACCCTCATATAAACCATCCCCGCTAGTCGCGCACGTAGCTTGTATATACCAATTTCGGTTTCGAAGTGAGTGTAGTCCCAACTTGTCTGTAATTTCTGCGGCGTTCATTGCGTTCGGTAGATCTTGTTTGTTAGCGAAGATAAGTAGTACGGCATCTCTCAGTTCGTCCTCCGCCAGCATTCGCATTAGTTCATCTTTCGCCTCGCCAATTCGTTCTCTATCATTGCTGTCGACTACAAATATTAGGCCCTGAAAAACGACAATTGCATATTATGACATTCTTAATTTGCTTCTCTTAAGCTTAAATTACACCTATTTTTTCAATTTTAAGTACCAAGTGGACAACTAAGAATGACGAACTGTTCTATCTCACTAGTACTTCCTTACAATACAGCTTTTGTGTGCCTTTCAAAAGATCATTTTTTAAAATATAATGTGATAAAGAGAAAATGCTGCAAATTACTTTTAGTTGCATATGAGTATGTACCTCTTCAACATAAAAGTTCACGAAAATAAAAATATTTGTGATGAATACTGACAACACAGTAGTGTATAACCTCAAAATCCACTGAACATTCATTAAGTTGTCTAGTTGGTTTTATGTATTTACATTTCTTTATTACCCTTCAATCAATTTTCACCAATATACAGTGTTGCCAAGCTTTCAGAATTTAAAGTCAACAACTCCTTAAAAGCTATTTAATTAATTGAAGTATTGTTGAAATTAATAATTAAATAGCACTTCACATATCACAGTAGATAGTTCCAATTCCCGATTTTCAACATTGTGTAAAGGGAGTTTCTCAATGATATGCAAATATTTAAGGGAGAGATTCTGCATAAAAAATTAAGGGTAGTATGCATACTGAATACACTGTGGTCAAAAAATGTTTCATTACAATTTTTTTTAAGTAATTACATTTAGTTTTCTGCCAATAATCAGTTTTAATCTTTTTTTCAAAAACGGATCATAGGTAGGTTCCAAAAATATCAGTATATCATGAAGGAACACCCTGTATAATGTACATATAAATTGAGAAATAGGTTGGTTTTTCCCTCAGTATAAATAACGATTTTGACATCGATTAGGCAAAATTACAATTTTCGTGATCTTTGATTTGTTGAACTTTCCTGTGCTCCAAACAGTAGAATAACTATTAACATGAATTGTACAAATTGTTCCATTTGCTGAGCCTGCTTTATACTATTTACTTACTTGCTTACCTTCAAATAACAACTTAAAATATTTGAAAAATTCAGGAAAATACAAAATACATTTACACATACAAGAGCTGATTTCAAATGAAAGAGAAGGGCGGACAGAATAAAGTAAGAGTTAGGAACTCTTAACACAAACAATAGCATATTCGTGAAAAGTGAGGTTGGCACCTAACTATGTCCAATCCAAAAAAAAGATAACATGAAAGGTTCCCACTTTGATAAGACCTGCCCAAAAATGATGTCACAATGAAATTCAAGATGGCGGTTACTGAGATACAAATATCAACTGTCATTTTTTAATGGGTGCCATATTGGATTTTTACGTGATTAAAGAAAGTTGTTTATTCCCATTTCCACCAACCGCCAATCTTGAAATTCATTGATATTTTTTTCAAAACTTATAACTACACATTGGATCTGGGAGACCCTGTATAGATAGATCATATTATCAAGGGCGCCGACCGACCAGAGTTGTAGTCACCAAAAATAGATCAAAATCTTTGGAATTTTGAACATCGAGGAAGATGCTTGGTAAGTTTTCCCTACGAAATCAATGCATAAATGCACTAATATTGATAAAGCTGCATAAAACCGCCACGGTTAAAGTTCATATACTTACTTGACATAAACTTATATGAGAAAAATTAAATTCCCACGGTATTCTTATTTTGTGGGTATTTTTGTTAGTTTGTTTTGAAATTTCGTTTATTCATTTATGCAGGAATACAAAACAAATGTAAATATTGGTACTCTTAGTTTGTTACTAATCATTACTATATTATGAAATCGCAAATTTGACGCATAGCAGCTAGCAAACAGAACTGAGCCTTTTTCCAAATAAATGAAGAGTCCAAAATGTTTGGCTTGCGATCTCATAAATCATTTGTACATCTTTAATTTTTTTCAGCAAACGGCGACATATGGGCGCCATCCCCGAGCATGTTATACTAACGTAGCGATTTTTATAAGTTGTATCCTACCTTCTACAGTTTTGGTCCAATTTTTTTCATATTGGTGTCATGGGAATGATCTTGTAAACGCGCACAACTCCTGCAAGACTGAAGTGTTTTTTTTTCCCTAGGGGCGAAATTAACCACCTTTTGCAAGGCACGCGTCTTCGAGAGGTAGTCGACTTTGGGCGCCCAAAAGTTTCTAGGAGCTCGAATCGCGGTCTCTTTTTCTTGTGTTCCTAGTAAGAACTAGGGTTATGAGAAGTGTCCCAAAAATTGAGCACTATTTTGTAGACGTTTTTTTAGTGAAATCCACCAAAATGCGAATTGTGACTGAACGGGACATCGGAAGTGGGTACCAGAAATGGAAATGTGGTTGCCCCTGACAAGATCTTACTGATGGTGGAGTAGTAAGATGATGGTGGAGTGTCAAAAATGTCAAAAAATTTGGAAACCATGACATAGCATCAAATTAATAGTCATACTGATTTTTATGATGAATTGGAAAATGCAAGAAAAGATAGCACTATTTGAAATAAGAACATTCCAATATCGTTCTGATACAACCGGAAAAGCAGTCATCTTGAAAATTTTTTTAAATAATTCCTTTTGATTGGTTATTCAAAAAAGGTGATGGGTCCCAAATCCCATCATAAAATATCCATATTAAGAAAACTTAAAAAAAAAAGAGTATACAAAGTAATAATAATAAAACGAAAGAAAACAAATAATCATACAATTAGTATTCTACGCACTTAAGAAAATGTACCTTGTGGAGTGCTTAATAAAAAAAAATTTGGGACACCTTTTCTAAAATTTGACACCAAGTTGATATTTTTTATACACCCTGTACATCTTAACGTCAATTTTTTTGCATTCCTTTTCCTGATTACATTGATGTATTGCCACTTTTTCCAAAAAGTCAAACTTTTCGTTTTCACTCTGTATCTCAGAAACCAAAGTAGCTAGATTGATTGTTTGTGGTAATTAAAACACGCACAGGCATGATGGCAATACCACAAATCTGTATCTTTAAAACAGCTGAGATGCTCTGCAGTTTCAACCAAAAACGATACAATTAAATCTTATAATTTGCAAACATCGTTACGGACCGCATGGGGCCCCTGTGTTCGACATGCAATCACTGAAAAACTGAAAATGAATTTGCCCTACCTTAAACAATCAGGTTTCTGTTAGTACCTTCTATTGGTACTGTTTTGCTAAGAATCTGGATCTGTTATCAGAATTTCTATAGCACGCTACTCTAGAACAGTGGTTCTCAAAGTGGGTGCCACAAGCACTTCATAAGGGTGCTGTGAAATTTTTAAATATTTACTTCATAAGCTTAAAATTACATAAATTAAAAGAGGAATTAAAATAATTATAAAAAATGAATATTCGTTTTTTATTACAATTGTTTTTTAGTTTCTATTTTATTTATTTCTATGGTTCATAATTCATTAATCAATCATATGCTGGTATTGCATTACATCAGACTTTCTCCATCTTATATAACTTTAGGGTGCATATAGGGTGGTATGGGGAATTGAAAACGTCCAATTTTGGTATTGATCCGTAACCATCTTCAAGGTGGTTGACTGTGTCAAAATTGTGTCATAACGGCTTGAAAAAAACTTAAAATTTTTTTTCGCATACATTGACCAAAATGGCTTAAAAAAACTGTACAAAAAAGTTCAATACAATTTTTTTGCGAGTTCCTTTGTTTTTGAGAAGTTTTGAAATGAGAAGTTAAACTATTTATTTTATTTTTCTACATTTCATTTTTCTCTAAAGGTACCAGAGTGAAAAATGTCAATTACAAAATAGATGTGTCTTGATGAGGTCTACAAAAAAGGCTACACTTTTTGCGTCGAGCGCAACAGGGCATTTTATAAATGTTATACTATATGACCAAAGATAATTGCAATAAAAGTAGTCGGAAAGTCAAGTCAGGAGTTTACCCGACAACTACTTTGAAATGCTTTTGTTTAAAAATTTTTTTTGTAAAGATTTCTCATCCTTCATCTCTTTACTAACTGTAAAAAAGCAAACAAATACTAATACTAAAGGTGCCGCGAATTTTGTTTAATAATTCTAGTGTGCCACCAGACAAAAAAGTTGGAGAAACACTGCTCTAGACTCTAGAGTAACATTTAGTCAATTTGAACATTTATTAAAATTGTTCCTATGGCCTACTACATACTTAAACAATGTGGCAGTAAAAAAGAAAAATATAGATAATTTGAAAATAAGTATGTCAAGCTAATAAGGGTCTTTTTTACAGTCATGGCCAACTGCAGTTTCCATTCGAAAAATCACAAATTTTTGTCATAACTCAAAAATTAGAGCTTAAATAAAAATTTGATTAAACTGACCCAATATAATCTATAACATAATTATCTATAACTTTTTGAAAAGAAAACAAAGTCAGTAATGACCAAAGTACAGACACTAAAAAAAACCAAATACAATATTTTCAAGTTGGTGGCCGAAGTTGACACCAACTTGCTTATTTTAAATAAAACGCCAAATATATTTTTTCATTTTTTACACAATGTTCTATATGTAAATTCAACTGCATAATGTAATCATTTACTAAGCTATCTCCGTTAAACAAAAATGTGACTTATCTGCACTAGAGTTGCAATCTCACTTGATCTAGGACACCCTGTATGTAGTATTTTTTATAAACGTTTTAAATTGGCAAAGCGGAGAGGATTTTATTGACTTTCTCTGAACACCCTATATAAATGGTAACTGGTAAAGTAGTTTTTTCCTAAAACATGGCTTTCGCTTGGTATTCTTGCACTTAATTTACTTAAAACAGTTAAAATCACACAAAAATAGGCGTTGATTAACTATATAAACAGCCTATACAAACTAGTGTTGTAAATTGCTCGAGGATTTATTATTTGAACAAATTCAGGTGTTATCAAAATTATATTTGTTCTGCAAGCGGTGTTTCACCTACATAAATTAAGTCTATAGTTCGCTCTTATGCACAGGAATATTCACACACTTACACCACTAATACAAACTTATTTAATTATTTTCAAGAAGCTACTAGGTAGTAGCAAAAATTGAGGCAAAAATCAGAACCGACTTCTGTTCAGTCCTCTTTATGAGTACCTAAAAAAGTGGGGTCCAGTTCCAATCACATAAAAGATTAATTAAATGAAATTGCAGCAAAGTACACTAAATAGAGCACAAAATACTGTATCGATTGCTGTCGATCACTTTAGAAAAACTTTTTACAAAAAAATTCGACCCATTCTCAATGCATTTGCAAATTTATACACCAAAATAAATCCACCACTTGAACATTCACTAAGAATTGTTACATGATGTTATTTGCCTACTGCAGTACGTCACCGATGGTTGCGACATATTGAACGCAGATATTTTCATTTTAATTGCGCTTAAACTAATGTCGCTCTACTATAGATGAAATAAAATGTAATACCGCATGCAGATCTACTGTGATACGTAAAGCACGGGCGGCCCCTTCGTAATTGCCACATCGATCTTGTTAAGGTTATGTAAGATAAAAGAAAAATACAATACCTGTGTGTTTTGGAAGTAGTGTCTCCATAAAGGTCTGATTTTGTCTTGACCACCAACATCCCATACTGTAAAGCTTATATTCTTGTATTCTACAGTTTCAACATTAAATCCTGGAAAAAAAGATTATGAGTTGTCAATCCCTCAAGGACATTGAACTATGACTCATGTGGAGCCAGAAATGTAATTAGGGGAAAATAAATCGCCAAATACCGATGATTAATTGCAAGTAATCTACATTTCACGCACAACGAAGACAAAATGTTAAAACGGCTATGAGCACACACTACTTACCAATAGTAGGAATAGTTGTAACAATTTCTCCTAATTTAAGTTTGTATAAAATTGTGGTTTTACCAGCAGCATCTAATCCCACCATCAATATCCTCATTTCCTTTTTGCCAAAAAGGCCTTTAAATAAATTTGCAAACATGTTCCCCATGATGGTGGTTGTCTAATGCAACCTGAAAAGAAGTTCGAATTATTCACAACACACAGCAATTTTTGTGATTTTTCGCAGTTATTTTTAGTCCATGTAACAAAGACACTCAAAGAAAAACCACGTTATTAATTTTTCAATAAAGGAGAATATTGATTAAATTTTTGGTCACTTCTGTAATAACACTAGTTAAATAGATGACAATTATTGCGTATGATCACCTACTTTCCACCACGATTACGTTTAAACGAGAAAATACGCCGAAATTTCGTTGTAAATTTTAAATGCCGACTGGCCAGTTGTCACCTCAATTTAACCAACTCCCTGCGGTGCTTAGCACAACATAACGAACTGCGTATATTCACAAAATGGAACAATTCGCAAACGCGTTCTATATTTTCAGTTTTTAATCAATTTTCTACTTACTTCTCTTATTAAAACACTAAATTCGTATAAAAACGCTATCACATTCACCAATCCTCCCCAAACTGTTCGTACGTCAATATGGCGGACGTGGAAGAGAGATCGTACTTCGTGCCACGTCTTGGTAGAAAAACAGTGTTTTAATTGGCCCGTTTGTTTCACGTGACTTTTGCCAGCGATTGGTACCAACTTTTTAATTGTGAAATTAGACGATAAGTGAAATAGTGGATTTTTCGAAATGCCCTATCCTTCCTCGCCTTTCGCGGAGAATATAAATGGTTTAATTTTGGAAAATCAATCCAAGCATAAAACGAATAACGAAAACGAAAAGGTACCTAACCTGTCTTTCACTCGCCGTTTTGTAAGTTGGCCGTAGTCGTAACGCGGGAAACTTTTCAGATTCAAAATGAACTGTACTTGAAGGAATTGTTGGGGTGGCTTTGCACATCTCCGCAACTTACATCGATTAGGGTTAACAAGAGCGCTTTTAAACTCGAAGATATACGAAAATTGGTGGAAAAGGTACTCCGAGTGTACCTGTTTTTTTATTATCAGTGAAGTTGTAGATTGTCGACAAGGGAAAAGTAGAAGTTCACCCTAATTTCCCCGACCTTCTTCTGCTGCATCACCCTGATAAGGCCTCGTGCCCCCACTTGGTAAAGGAATCGAATGAAGTTGTGGTGGACGTAAACGGTGCCACTGCAATTTTACGTGGTGCCCATGTATTCGCGCCTGGAGTAATTGGTATGCTGCAAGGTGTAATTTGAGATTATCGAAGGGTTGGTTTTAATATCTCCTGTTTAAAGGGGCCAAAGTAAACGACAGAGTTAGTATATTTGCAGACATCGAGGGGAAATGTAAGAAGGGTTTCGCCACGGTATACCAATCACCTGGGAAATTGTTCATTGCAAATGGTACAATTAAAATGAATAGAGAGCAATTATTTGGGTTAAATTTGGTACCCTCGTAAGTATACATACTTTATCAGTTCTATCATTTGATAGTTCTAAGTCTAAGAGAAACTGTTATTTATGATACTTTACTAAAAAGTGGCCTATGCCAAAGATCATACTACACCGAGTACTACACCCTATATGTCTATCAAAAAACTATTTCATGAAAATATTCAAACCAATAATTTTTGTGAGAAAAAATGCTTGGCTACCTAGAGCTAGTGGAAGAAGGATGCAATTGCGGCACAGGAAGAGTCGAGCCTAAAGAGAGACTCAAGTCCTAAGTGCTTTTCATTATAAATATACAACTTTAAATCTCATCTTTTAAAACATACCTACCTATAAAGTTTGTAGGTATAAAATTTAAACAATGGTATAAAGTAAGAAAAGTACCTATTGTAATTGTGAAAAATTTTTGATATGCCAATATTGCGTTTTCTGGACGTTTTGTGAACATGATAACTAAAAAACCCCTGAACCGATTTGAAAAAATCGAAAACGTCCTATTTTGGTTTTGATCCGTAACCATCTTCATGGTTGTTGAGGGTGTCAAAAGTTTAAAAGAGCCATAACGACTTGAAACATTTTTTTTTAATTTTTTTCGCATACACTGGTCAAAATGACTTGAAAAACTCGACAAAAAAGTTCATTACAATTTTTTTGTGAGTTCCTTTGTTTTTGAGAAGTTTTGAATTGAAAAGTTAAACTTTTAGGTATTTTATTTTTCTAAATTTGCATTTTTCTCTAAAAGTAAGCATCAGAGTGAAAAATGTTAATTACAAAAAAGATGTGTCTTGATGAGATCTACAAAAAAGGCTTCTACACTTTTTGCGTCGGGTTCAAAATAAAGGCGCTAAGGGAACTAGTTTTTAATACTATGCGATCAAAAATGAGTTTGCCGTCTAGTCACCTTTGAAATTTTTGTTTACATGGTAAATATACGTCTTTCGCTATAAAAACCGGTGCACGTCATTGATTTATGAATCAATTTCAGACAAGTTTTCTATAGATTTCGCACACTTGTTTTTTTTTGTACATGTTGCAGTGTTGCAGCATATGTCTAAAATTGATACACAAATCAATGACGTGCAACGGTTTCTATAGCGAAAGACGTAGGTATAGTACTTAATTTGAATTTCCAAAAGCGACTCGACAGCAACTCATTTCCACAGCTTTCTAGATCTTTTACTAAGCAAGCGCGGCAAGTTTATTCCCAGAGTTTTCCGGTTCTTTTCAGAACCTAGAAAGCATCTAATAAAGAACCTAAACTTATGGAAATAGACGTATAAGTTTCAACGATGACCTAGAAGGCTCTATAAAGGCTCGTCAAATGCAGCGCTTGACCTACACAATTTGAAATGTTCACAGAGGTGTTTAAAGGGGCTTAAAAACTATCCAAAACGAATTGCCGGCCAGTGTGGCGCAGTTCAGTTGAAGCTGAACTGTGGTACTAATGGTGCCTGGTTCGAATCCGGGTTCGGGCATGGATATTTGTAAATGTATGGTGGGTTGGGTGGATAGAGCAGCCTTGGCTGAAACCCCGCCCACTCAAAAATAAATGCAAAATAAATGTTGTATTTATTTTTGAGTGGGCGGGGTTTCAGCCAAGGCTGCTCTACCAACCCAATCCACTATACATTTACAAAATTGTTAGATATAAGTAGTGTAAATTTATTAGCAGGAAGTATTAGAAATCCAATCTGAATCTGCATTCATTGCTTTGGAGGCTCAGGTATCTCTATTCATCAGCAAAATTGTTGTTCGTTACACGATACTTACGTGTTTGCGTCTGATAACAATACATTGACATGCCGAGCAGAATAAGATATCTGCTATCAGTGTAATTTCGCTCCAATGCTTAAGCAGGCATGTCAAACTCATTTATCATCAAGGGCCATTTTAAGGTTTCCACATATAGCCGGGGGCCACATGATAAAAAACAATAACACGAACAAATACAGCCCTTTTTTTATGTCTAAGAATATGGGTACCAAATTTGGTTCCCGGAAATGAGAGTACAGACCGACCCATAAACAGGCTGACATCAAAATTTTGTTTGATTCGGATTCCTGATGGCACCTCAAAACGTGTATTTCCGTAAAAAAGTGGGAGGGGGGTCATTTTTACCCCGATGCAATACCTCCCTTACTAACGTACGGGTGGTTAAAACGTAAAACTGCCTATTTTAGATATTTTTACGTAGAATCTAGTAATGACGTAGTAACAAATAATGCTCGACCACCGTTTCTGAAATTTGACCCAAACTTGGTATCTTTTAAATGCAACACTCTGTATACTTTAACGTACCATTTTTTGAATTCTTTTTCGTGATTGCATTGATGTATCATCCTATATATAATTTTGAAATGACATGATTCTACAGTCAACCATTTTATTGATTAATATCGGCTGCCTTAGTTACCATGGATACAATCAACAAATCAAAATCTCATGAATCCATGGCCGATGGCCTTCTAGGTATTTAAAAAGACTAAAAAATAAGGTTTTTATTGATTTTCATCGCTCAAATTAAAACAATACAGGTTGTGATACATTAATGTAATTAGGAAACAGAACACACAAAAATTGACGTTAAAATATACCAACTTTGGGTCAAACCTCGGAAACTGGTCATTTTTTTACTATGCGACTCGATTTTACGTCACAATATTAAAATAGGCAGTTTTTACCTTTTTTTAATCTTACATCGGTAGTAAGATGTAATAAACTGATAACGTTCCAAAAGTCAAATTTTTTATTTTTATTTATTTATGTTGACTTTAGTTTTGAGTGGGCGGGGTTTCAGGCGGCTCTACCAACCCAACCCACTATACATTTACAAATATCTATGCCCGAACCCGGATTCGAACCAACAACCCTTAGCACCACAGTCCAGATTTAACTGAACTGCGCTACAGGAGCCGGAACCCGGTATCTCAGAATCAAACGAAGCTAGATTGATTCTGTTTGTGGTTTCACAAAAGTGTCACAGGTTCGCGAAAACTACAAGTCTCTATCTTTAAAAACTACATTCTCAACCAAAATAGGGCACACGGTACAATTCAATAATAATTTGCAAACATCGTGACGGGCCGGAGGTTTGAGAACGGAGGGCCGCGTGTTTGACATGCATGGCTTAAACATTTAAATCGTCATTTATTAAAGCACGACACATCGAAACATATCTATTCGCATAATCGACGTAAGAGAATATCGTAGAGTTGTACGAGTGCGCTACAAATTGAATGATTAATTGTGATCTTTATTTCTAATTAGAAAATTAAGTTAAGCTAATTCAAGACAGCCCCAAGTTCTTAAGAAAAAAGCCTTTCAGGTAGTATAGGATTAAGGGATTATATTTTTAAGTGTCAAAAAACAGTGAGATAAACTCAATTCACTTTAGAATTAGTACAATTTTATTTAACCTGCTACAATAACATGTTTAATACAATTTTTAGCAGATGGAAATATAACTTTGTAAATTAAAAAACATAAATACATAACGTAGCTGGTTGAATGACCACTGGTCCAAGCAAAAAAAAAACCCTCTGTTAGAAAACGCTCGCAGCTACACTCCCCATTTGTAAATACATGTCTTTAGTGTTAATCTGAATCGCAAATTGGGGAAAACAACGATCTCCAATTCCTAAGTTTTAAGCGCCAAATTCAAATTGCAATCATTTCCGATCACCCGGTATCTATCGATAAGATCTGTGGTACCACAGTGTATTTAGACTGGTGGTACGCAGTGATACGCTTGCAATTTCGCCAGAATTAAAACTTTTATTTACGTCGTCAGCACGGACCTTGGTCGTGAGTCAAGCTCAAGAGTTACTCAAAAGCTTGCGCGTTTATGGTCTCCGGGACAAAAAAGACCGTTGTATTTCATGTGTAGAAACAATTTTACAACGTTACTCTGTGTATAAAAAATGGTATAGTACCGTATGTATAATAATTTGTATAAATATAGACACTAGTGACTAAGCCAAAAGCAAATAAAGTAGATAAGGTCCCTCAGGGACATATTAAATCCCCTTTTCTGTTAAAACGCGACCACTTTTTTTCTGGCGTGTTATAGGAGGGATTACACGGTTAATGAATTAATACCAGTGAAATTGTTAACGCCGTAATCCTCGAGGTTATCGATATTATTACTGTAAAAAATGACACGCTTTTATTGCTACTGCTTATACTGGAATCAGTTGAATCGTAATCTTAATAGTTGGGTAAATACTTTCGTTAAGGAAAGAGGGAATTCCAAGTTTCCAAACGATTATTTTCTTCATTGTACAATTAGTAGAGTGCAGTTTGATCACGAATCAACAGATGTTCCTCTTCCTTCATACTTTTGTTTATGTGAAGTAGACGAACGTACCTAATGGAAGTTAATAGTATGACTTCACGACTAGCAAAAATAGGGGCGTCCCTAACAATGCTGGTTCACGTATTTATTCTCTCATATTGCGTATTTATTGTTTATTTATGTTTAAGTAACGAGGTGGTTTTATTTACGTGGCATCCACTCCTATTGGCTCTTGGTGTAAGTACACAAATAAAGTTATTGGTCCTTTTTTTGACAATAACAGGTGCTGTTTTTAGTGGATACTCTTAATGGGCGAAGGTATTTTAGTATTCAATTCTCACAATACGTTGATAAAGCATTTGGGTTTGACACACAAAGGAAAAGTAAGAGCACATTGGATTATACAGGGCGTTGCAATCTCTCTTAGCGTTTCTGGTTATATAATTGTGTACGTGAACAAGGACCTCAATGGAAAGCGTCATTTGCACTCATGGCATGGCATATTTGGTTTTGTTTCAATTATATCTTGCATTCCCGTCATTGTTAGTGGGGTGACGGCATTGTATAATTACAGGCTGAAAAGTTACATTAGTCCTGTTAACAATAAATTAATTCATCGTATTTGCGGCGTATTTACTTATTCGGTTGGTTTTGCTACAATGCTGTTGAGTTTGTACACCCATTGGTTCCAACGTAAAGTCGATACTACCGTCATGATTTTGTGGTTCGTCATACTATGTGTTATTATTATTTGGTGTTTGATATCGCCATATTTTAAAGTTTTTAATCGATTGAAACTCATTGTTAAATAGTCTATTAGAATAAAATAATCTTTTATTTAGTTTTTTCGTGTTTTTCTTTTGCTTGGGTGCGTGGGTGGTATTTACTGTTGTCTGTGTGACTCAATTAGCATGGCTATCGCCACGGCACGGACCATAAATGCATTTCTAGTGCATTTTCACTCCGCATTCGTAAATGATTTTACTTTGTTCTTGTTTAGCTTTTGATTACAGCTCAGCTATTACCTACTTATTTTGTATTTCTTAGCGATTGCGTAACTATCTCACAAAAAAGTTTTGTGAACTATCTAACATTCTAACTCTTAACCACATTCTAACTCTTAACCACAGATGTAATTAGTATATTTTTAAATCTGTGCTCTTAAGGACGGCATACGAATTGAAAAATTAAACAAATTTATGAAAAATGAGGCAACCAGATTCGCTATTAAATATCAGAGGTCGCAGCATGTGTTAAAATCGAAAATAGTGAAGTATTATTTTTGTAGTAAATAAATTGTGCTGCCACATTGTGTCGAGTAGGTGGTACTCGACTTACACAATTGGATTGTGTATACTCTAAATTAAATTACTTTTATATGTTGGCTTCCATGACCTTGTGCACATTCCTTTGCTTATTTTAACGAGATAAAAAACAGCTGATTGGCATAGATTAAATTACAGTTAAAGGTACACGCAAAAACGATTATGCACTATTACCAGAGTTATTTAAGTGATCTTAATTCGTATAAGTTATAATGATGCTTTGACGTGGTGAATTTAAAAGGATACATAGGGGAATTTGCTTTATTTAGAAAAAAAAGTGTTTGTTTGGAATTATTGGTTACTTACCCGGAAAATCCGCGACTGGATTGTCAATCCTTTTTTGATCGCTCGTTATATGACAAGCCGGAGAAATCCTACTCTGGGGTTATAGGGGGCGTAGAGTCCATATCTGCCCTCGAAATTGACAGAGGATGCCCTGGGGCGGCGCTACGAGGGTGCAGTGAAGTAAAAATTAACCGTGCCGAAAAAATAGTTACTCCGGGCGCCGGGGCAATTAATATTTTTTTTACTGAAAAAATAGTTACTCCGGGCGCCGGGGCAATTAATATTTTTTTTACTGAAAATTCACCCCGGCCCCCCATGATCTCTACCCGGAGAATTTCGAGAGTAGATGTGGTCTCTGCGCCTAACGACCCCCCCCCCCCCCCGCCCTTCTCCATATTATCACAGACAAATCTGTGATATTATGTTTATAATTCTTATGTAATAGCTAATAAATGCATTTATTTTTCATTTGCCTATTATATGTCAATTATATCTGTCATATTATGTGATATATGAAGCAGTCTATTACGCCCAAGGGCATAATGAGAGGGTATAATGGATTGTCATCTCATTATGCCCCCAAACGGCCTGTCAAATTGATTGACGGAGTTATATTATGTAATAAAAAAGATACAACTTGGTTCGTATGAAGCACTTTAATATTGGGCAAACAATAATCATGACATTTGTATATTGGAAATGTATTCTTTGGAACGATGAAAAATAAAATGTTGTATGCACCTCAGGCATTACTCAATATTTAACCCTCGGGCGACTTACAATCCGTCGGGCCGGAGGCCCTCGGGCTCTGTCGCCCTCGGCATAAATATCGCCTTAATGCCCTTGATGCATAAATAACTATTTTGCACCCCTGTGATTTTTTTAGGAAATGCACGTCGTAGGATAGGCATAGGATACGGGCAGCGTTACACAATCGTAAAATTTCCAAACGGTCTTTTTTTCCGTAGGGTGGTCGCCCACGCACATTCAAATCACAAATGTCATTTTATCTTAGTAAATCTTAGCTGCACTACTGCTGCTTGCCGCCATTGTGGTTGATGTAACTTTTTAAAAAATGAAATCTTTGAGAATGACTCCTGGCCGAAATATTGGATTTTAAATTACAAAACTTTCAACATTGAAAGAAGAGGAGCAGTTTTACAGCGACTGTACTTTAAAATTCAACAATTGCTTAAAATAAAAAGTAAAATGTGTATTCTTATTTTAGCAATATTGTAGTAATTACTGTCTTTCTAGTAAAACCTTTATATAGTCGCTTTAGAGAAATGTATTTAGAATTTATATTTTCAAAAACCACCCTAAAAAATGATTGTATAAGCCCTGGAGTCGTTTTCAAAGTTCGATATAATTTTACATTGCAATTTGTCAGTGGCGACCTCTATTGATTCTCATGAATAGTAATGCAGAGACATCGCGCAACGTCGCAATCGCCACAGTAGCGCGAGCGAAGCCGAAACCAGGGCATCGATTCCCGAAGTTAGTCGATATGCTCCGTGATGTGCATGTGATGTGACCGGCTGCCATGACGTCATGATCGTATACGATAGGGATAAGTTCAAGTTTAGCTGCATTCCCGAATCGTGGACAAACTTTATGCGCTAACCAATCACAGACAAGAATTGAACTGTCATTTGTCAGTTTTGTATTTTGTTTTGTTTTTGCATTATGGATACTGCTATTAATAACCAGAAAATCCTCGAACAATTCCATGTTTTATTTCACAGAAAATATGTGAATTTATAGGTTAGGGCACTGAATAACCTCTATAGCAAAACAGCTGCAAGATCCGTCCTGTAGCTGCAACTGCGCATGACTTTCACGCAACGAGTGGTCTAGACCAGTCGTTGCGTTCGATCAACTTTTCGCTCGATGTGGTAGATTCGAGAATGCAGTGGCATTGACGTTCACATCAAGGTCAGTCGATGTGAACAAAACACATCTTCGGGAATCGACGCCCAGTTTCATAGCGTTTTCGGCTGAATAAACTGCGAGTGGGCAATTCGCACCGTATTGACGTCACAGAGTGCTCTCGATTCTGAGAGAAATCAATCGCAGCCGAACACGCCTTTAACTTTGAGAGCGCGAAATTTATACTACTTAACCTCACATATAGTCACGTTAACCGCCGGAAAAGATGGAAAAATATTGTATATTTTTAAAAATTAACGAAGTTGAATTTACTTTATCACTGGACCAAGTAACATTTAACAGTTTAACCGGTAAGTTGTAAACAGAATTAGCTCAGCTAGCAATGATTATTTCTTTTTAATAGCTAATCCCACTGACTTACTCCCTGATTACATCAAAGTTTTGCAAGAAAATAATGCTCTGCAAGAAATTAATGAAATACGAACACTGGCTTTTTCACTTGACAATAAAACCTTTCTGGAAATAGGGATTCAACCTCCGGAGCCACAAGAAGATCGTGCTCCTGAACTAGAGATGTGGGACGAACAAGCTACAAAATTATTACTTGACAAGTACGAAACGTACTTGCCACTAGTTGGCCCATTAAGAAAGTTTAAGAAAAAAAAGCAGTTGTGGTCAGCTATTTCTGAAGATATAAAGAATATTTTGAATATACAAAAAACGGCAGGGCAGTGCGAAAATCGGTATAAAACCGTTCTGAAAAGAAAAAAAAATATAATAAAGACTAATCGAACGTCTGGCGAATCACCAAAACATAATCCATATGAAGAAGAGCTTTCAAGGATTGCTGCCATTGATGATTCTGTTGAACCACCTGTAAGGATGGGTGTGGGAAAGTGTATTATTGTTGATAAAAATAACTGTGCCAACAAAACAGAAGAATCACCATCATCATCAAGAAGTGCAACACCAACATTTCCAAGCCGAAAGAGACCCGTGAGTGAAGTCCTTATGGAGATTGCAAAAGAAAAAGAAGAGGGACGTAACCGGCGTCACAAGGAAAAATTAGACTTGTTACGCAATTTAGCCGAAAAATTTTTCAACAAAACTGATTAGTATGTAACCATAGGAATTTAAAAAAACTACTGATTTTTCTTTATGCATTTTATATACCTTTTCCAAATAAACTGGTACACTTTATTCGTGGTTTAATAGGTCACAAATATACTGTCTTTTCAGTTCACCTAATCTACGCATTTCGTGTTCACGATCTGGACCAATAGCATTATCTTCCTCATTTGCGTTGACGATATCTTCACAAATATCATCATAATCGATGCAAATATTATGCAGTACACAACAACATAGGATAAATTGTGCCATTTTTACTACCTTATGAAAATCTAACCTGCCAAGTTGTCTAAAGCGCCCTTTTAAAAGCCCAAACGCATTCTCAATTTTAACTCTTGATGAACTTAATTTTTTATTATACTTTATTTGCTGCCGAGTTAAATTTCCGTAATCTCTGTACGGTGTAAGTAACCACTGCCTAATTGGGTACGCACTATCTCCAATTAAATGGTAATGGCCATTGTTAGATAGTGTTTGAATTTCGCTACTAATGAAAGATAATTTGAAAACTCTGCTGTCATGCAGCTTTCCGGCAGGTCCTGTAAATACATCTAAAAATTTTTTTTTAGCATCACAGATTCCCTGCAGTGTGATGCTAGGAATGTCGTGACGATTTGTATATGTCGACTTTATCTTATGTGCAGGCGTCCTAATATTTATATAGGAACCATCCACGCAGCCTAAAATATTGGGAAATCCAGATATCTACAAATGAAAAACAAAGTACAAAGGTACTAATAAAAAGCATTAGTTATTACCTGCTCAAATTCTGCAGCTACTCTTTCTTTCTCCAGATCTGTTTTTGGAAAACGAATGACTGTTGGTAGTAGATCCAATAAAAATGACATCACTCGTCGTTGAACTGAACTAAAGGTCGATAACGACATATTAAATCTATCGCCACTTTCTCTTATTGTGCAATTATTTCCAGCGTACCTGAAAATACATTTGTATTTCTATTGCGTACAAATTCTGTATAATTCATTACTCACCACAAAAAGCTCAAAATATGGCATTCAGCCGAGATTAAACTACTACCACCTTTATGTTCACTGGGATAAAATTCACTCCTGGCAAACTGCTCAACAAGTCTGTAGCATGTTGTTCGTTTTACACGAAAGTGACTTTTGAACTGTTAAATAAAACATTGTTAATACTGGACAAAGTACTGTACTAATCAATGTGCGACTTACCTACCTGTGAATCATTAAGTATGGAAACAACATTTTCGACATAATTGATAATTTTTGGAATTGGGTGCTTATGCATCTGATCCACTAATATCCCTATTTCCTGGTCACTTTCATCGCTGCTAGATGATTCTAACAATTCAATGGCAAATTCCATAAAAATGTTAAACTTTTGAAACTGTTGTTGTAATTGATCAGCCATTTTTATTTTGAACTAGAAAGTTGCTCTGCCTGCCCTAACTATCAACCTCAGAGCAAGAAAAATTGCCCCAAGAGCGAAATTCACCGCTCTTAAATGTCAGCCGAAAGCATCACTCTCGTAAAGAGCGCACTCAAAACACCAGCCGAACATAAAAATCGCTCTGAGGGCGCAAAAAGTGCGCACCAGAGCGTCCAGCCGAAAACGCTATCAGTCATAAGGAAGGGGCACCCCCTCTCCCACGCCAGCCTTTATAAGCGTGCACGCAACTACGAGAATTCATTCCGACCCGGCTATTATAGTAGGGAACGAATCCGGCAGCGCTATTATATAGCCTGCCACCAAAGCCCAGCGTTGTTATATAGCCTGGCGCGAAAGACCCCGGCTGTATATAGTAGGGGCAGCTAACGAACGTATTTCAGCTGCCACAAATACGTAACACACTTTCATGCCGTCGACGACACCACGCAAAGAGCGGAAGGAGCGCCCCGACGCACAACGTCAGATGCGCCGACGATCTCCCGTACCGCGCTTCATCAGCCCGCTTCCGCCGTCGCCAATCAAAGCATCCACGCCAACCTGGAAGCTCATACCGATTGATGTTCCCGTGCCCTATGTCAACGTAGCCCTAAGTGCCCTACCGAAGAACGACCCTCGTCGTGCAGTCCGTCAGCTACGTTTCTAAATATGTTAATTTGTAATTATATGTACCTATCTCGTTATAGTCTTAAAATAAAAGAACACGTAGACCAACCGCCAAAATCATGTCAAAAAGATTTAATAACACAAAATCGAATGAAATATTCTAAGCAAACACTGAAACTACCTTATTGAAATTATCCTAACCCTACAAATCTGAACGCATGCCCATATCCTTTTGTGTTACCACTTATCAAAATAACAAATAACTAGCTCGCGTCGCGACTTACACTTTTTAGCACATTTTCCAACAGGCGCTATTATGGCCACTTTCTCCGTCCGTCCGAGGACCACAGTTTTAAGATATTTAGTCCGTTCTTTTTGCATTCGATAGCTAATAGCTCTGGCACCTCAACCAAGAAAAATCATGACGATTAATGTGCGCATGTGTGTCAAGTTATATAGAGGTATGTCGTTGAAATTTTAACCACAGATACTTTTAGTAAAGACAAACATATTGCAGATTGTAAAAATCAGACGTGCGCATGCGTAAACTACGCAATGTCAACTTCTTATCTATGGAAATATTTCTTTGAAATTTTAACCAGAGATGCTTCTAGTAGACATCGACCATATCGCATATTGTAAGAATCAAGGTGCGTGCACGCGCAAATTGCGCAAGTCAACTTTCTTATTTATGGAGATATTGGATGCTTCTAGCAATGACAAGCATATTGTAGATTGTAAAAATCAAATCTGCGCAATACCAACTTTCTTAGTTATGGAGATATTTCTTTGAAATTTTAACCAAAGATTCTTCTGCTGAAGATAAGCATATCGCGTATTGTAAAACTCAGATGTATTGTTTTTCCCTATGTTTACTTTTATATGAAAAAATCTCTTCTGAAGGGCGCCTAATTTTATGCAACCAAAATAACTTCTTAAAAAAATAAAGATCTGGCTGTCATATTAATTAATTTGAGTATTGTTGCTTTGGCTTCACAGAAATTAAACCCTGTCGGTTCATAACTACTACCGCCACTACCAATTGACATTATCAACATTTTCTTCATTTTATAATTAGCAACGGACTGAATGTCTTATTTAATTTTGTTGCATAGGTATTTGCAATTAATTTTGGATTTTTGTATTTCAGGGGAATCGCAATCGAAGTCACCGAGAGAATTTCTCATTGCCCGAGTATAAACGAATCTCTGTTCCCAGTGGGTTCCACGCTCTTACAAAACATACCCTCAGTTATATGCGTTCACGCTTTGAAAGTACGACCGGAATTAACGATTTTAGACATGTGCGCCGCACCTGGCAATAAAACAACACACATATCAACTTTAATGCAACATAAAGTAAATAAGTTAAGACAAATGTCGATTATTCATTGAGAGTATTTAGGGAATTTTAGTGGCGGTGGATAAAACACCCTCCAAGGTAAAGCGACTAGAAGAAACGTGCAGGAGGTACGGTGCTAACGCGTTAGTTTTCCAAGCGGATGCCACGAAGATTTTAGTGACTGATGGGCATGACGCAGATGTTTCGAGAGGGCCTCCATTTCAAACTGAAACTTTTGACAGAATCCTGCTGGATGTCCCATGTAGTGCTTTAGGTAAACGGCCGCAATTGTCGAGTCGTGTGACGGAGGCGGTCCTGAAATCGTACGTTCCTCTTCAGCGCAAACTATTTCATACGGTAAGATGGTAATATCACAGCTTACTTACTAACTGTGGTAATATATCTCGAAAAAAGTGAGATAAAAGTTCTACAGATAACCTATCCGTTTTTTCAATAGCAATCTTATATACAGGGTGGCAATTTGAAAACTTACCACCCCCCATGTCTTAGTAAATAAACGAGATATTTAAAAAAATCAAAATCCGTTTCGGTAATTCGGAGGGGGAATCACAATGACATAGTTGGCGACGCACCCCCTCCAACCCCCTGCGCCCCAGCCACCCCAACTTTTAAATCTTAAATAGTGACCCCCCATGTGTGATACGTCGTTGGAAAGCTCTGAAAAAATGCTTTCCAACCATACCAAATAGCATTACTTCATTTTAAGGGCCCGTCCTCAAAAATATTTGGGGGCCCCTTTCCCTTACGCTTAATATAACCGCTTGGATTTCTAATGACACCCATGTTAAAAATATATAAATGAAAGTTCACTAGAAATACAACCCAGAAGATTCGGATTCTTTAATAAAGATAGCTTCAGGAATTAATCAATTTTAGCCAATTTATTTCTTCGCTTTTCAACGGTTGTGTTTTGTTTTGCTCTTCTAGGTTCCACTATAGTATTTTCGTCCATTCTGAGCTGTCTGATTTCGCCGCTGGAGATACATTTAAACATTTCTATTCTTTGTGTATGAATCGGCCTTTTTTGAATGAAGGTAACTGTTTCGTCAGTGCATTCATCTCGAAAGACAAGTTCAGTTTAAGGTTACCGTATCCAGAACCTTCAGATCTCTTCTGGACTGCAGAAGGTCTCGCTAATTAACAAAGTGTTTCATTTAGGTACTTTATGTAAGAGACTTCGGAATGTTATTTTTCACAAATGGGAAACGAATGGAGTTACTTTTAAACCTCTTTGAGCTGGCTACTTTTGAGCATATCAAATTTCGTATTAAATTAAGGTCAGATTTAAATAATATGATATGATGATTTAAATTCAATAGTTACTTCCTCGGATTGTTAATTTTTGTATATTGTAGCATAGTGTAAGAATTCTTTACACTAAGATTGTAGTAATTGGTCCGGATTTTTCACCTCCTGTGAACAATTTTATCTCTTCCTTTAGTAACGCAAAATAATATGTAAATATTAACACAAGCGTAACATTGAATGAGTTCGGGAAATTTTCAATTTTTTTCAGTATTTTTTATATAAGAATTATATTTTTGCCGGGGCCCCTTTTAAGTCGGGGCCCGTCCTCATTGCGTACCTTTGAGACATTGTAGTTACGCCACTGAGCATTACATTTATGTTATTAATTATCGTGCAAATCAAAAAATAAACTAATATGATACATTTGAAATCTGTCGTATTTAAAACGCAACCTGCGAACATAGACGAACTAAGACAGAGAATAATTCAAGAATGTTGAAATATTGCAAAACCAACATTTGAAAAGGTTCTACAAGAGTTTGAGAATAGTTAAGAGCAGCTGGACCGATTTTCATTACATCTGTTTATGATTTTTCTGTATCGCTGTAACTATTAAAATATTTGTAAAATACAAGAAATAATAGAACGAGCACGCACAATGGCCATTGGCGTTTTCGTGCGAGGTTCGCCGGGTCTATAATTATTAATATAAATAATAATGAAAGTTTGTCATGTCTGTCTCTTATGCCTACCTAAACCGCTCATCCGATTGTGATGAAACTTTGGGTAATGCCGAATGGTTGGACGTATACCCGCGAAAGTTTCTGAGTTAGTAAAAAACTTTTCCGAAACTCCCACGGGAACGGGAACAGGAAAAAATGGTTATTTATGTTTTACAGTTGAAAACAGATTTGACAATGTAGGTTTCTTTGGAGGTGTACTCCGAATGAACTTCCCGAAGTTCCCACGGGAACGGGACACGGGAAAAAACGGGATTTCCCAAAGACGGTACGAATTTCGCCCGGACGTAACTAGTAAACTACTTAGTACTTTGAAAACTATACCATCTGCTTAGTTTCATATTATACATCAGGTCTTTAATTCAATTCTGAATGACTGCGTTAAACTCATAAAACGTATATGGTTATTTTACAAGGTTGGGGAATTTTTAGACATATCTTATTTGTAGAACATTTCTCTCGCTTCGGTCAAATTTTAACGGAAAAGGTCATTTTAACGGGTGTTTTGTCTGTTTTAGGCTGTTCCCTTGCTGAAAAAGGACGGCTACTTGGTGTACAGTACTTGCACGATTACCTTGGCGGAAAACGAAGCAATGGTCGCGTGGGCATTAAGGACATTCGGAGATTTACGATTAGTAAAACCTGATCCTACCTTAGGCGGACCAGGCCTCTTTGGAACCACTCTCTCCGAAACCGAACGTTTGTATGTACAGCGATTTGGGCCAAATAATGTAGATTCGGTTGGTTTTTTTTATGCGCTCTTTATTAAAGTATAGAACAAAATATTTTATATTCCTTCTTCGTAGAATTTTTCATTGTGGGTTCCTATTCCCGTTAAGGTCACCTTCTTCGAGAGGAAAGGAATGTTGCTCAGTATGTTAATTTCTTCATGGTAGGTTGTGGATTCGCTAAAAATAATTCAAGTCATTATGGTGGTAAGAAGTCCAATGGTACTTATAAACATAGGTGCATCACTATATTCTCAATATATATCCAACAAAGTGATCATATACCTATATCAATATATAGCTCTAGCTTATATGTAATGTACACTTTTACTTCTCACATAGAGGATATCTTTTAGGAGTTTAATTGACATAAGAAAAAAAGGCTCTTGAAGTTAAGACTAAGCTTTCACCATACACTTTGATTGCCACACTCATTTTTTCTTTTCAGTGCCCATGAAAAGCAAAAATGTAGTTCCGTTCAAAGTAAAAATTGGCTGATAACAAAAGTGTTTTCCGAAGAAACCGAATGTTCAAAATGAATCATTTGAAAGCTACCCCCCTCCTCCCAAACATCTCAAATTTGCGTTTCATTTTTAATTTTTAACCCCACCAATGAAAAATTGGGAGGTATATGTTGAAGTGCGCGCCCAATCTTCAAAATCAAAAACTTACCTGGGAGAAAAATAAATTTTTAACGTTACTGTAGAAAGAGTCCTTCCTTCAGCTTTAGGAACAATTCCCTTATTTGGTACAATCCTAAATGGACTGTCTAATATAGACTTGATGATGCTAAAGTGTAAATGTGTACCTATAATTATCAACAGACATTGTCAAATTGTTCGCCCATTACGAAATAAATACCTTTAGTGTTCGACAACATCAATAACGCCATTTTGGTGTTGCCAATGTAAACGAGTTGAAAGTTAACCGTTTCTTGAGATATGTGTAGATCAGGATAGTAAAGGATGAATTTCATTTTTGTTACCTGTAAAAAATTGCTAGTTAAAGAACAACGGTATATTACATGTGTTACCTGTTTCTGTACACCAAGTTGATTAATGTTTAGGTCTTGTTCGAGTGTAACAGAATTTTCGTCCTGATTGAAGTACTCGAAGTTGGTCGAGTTCTTATTGTTAAACAACGCATCGGCGTAAAATAGTACATATTCGACGTCAACTACGCACTCGATTAGCACCTTTGGAGAAATGGATAAGATATCGTTCAAAAATTGGGAACCTACCTGTAGGCAGTCGCCAGGTTTGATTAAGATTGCGGGGCAATGTTCGCTAGTTTCGGCTTCGACTGTAGATAACTGCAAGACTTTGAACGGTTTCTCAATATTCATTGAAACTGTTGCAGCTGTGTCGTGAATGTTTCTAAAGATGAGTGTTTTTTCGTACTGTACTTCATGCTTATCAATAATATCACTAGCATATGCAGTAACTGTCATGTCACCTTGCAACAGTTGTAGCTGCAGCAGTGGCAGTTCCAGTGTGGTAAGCAATTTCACATTGACTGGGGTTGATTCCGTATCAGACTTCCGGTAGAACAAGTCATCTTGAAATCTTTTTACATTAGCCAATGTAAGTTACGGGTAAAGTGTTACTTATGGTCTTTTTTTAAATGTACGTATCCCAGGAGGTCGGCTTCGATGTCAGTTTTTTCAAATTTCACTGGAAAATGCCGAGGATCATGTGTAATTGTAATCATCTTCGATTGCTTCGGCTTCAGTCTTATACAGCGAGGTGTAACCTTTTGAAGAAGACATATTATACATACAGTGTGTTTTTAAGGTGGGCCATACGACAATGTAAAGGCGTTGAGTTATTTAAAATGGGCCTAGGGAAATTTACCTACATGGCATCAATTGTTTCAGTCATAGCTTCCTCGCGAATCATCTACCACCGTACTGTAGAAATTGTTTCTAAATCAACAAATTTATTCAAATCAGATATAAACGTATAAAATTACAATCGGTACTCGAATTGTTTTCCACCGGCAACCAAACAATACCCGATACTCGGCACTGAATAGCTGGCATACCACTCAGCTACTGCGCCCACTCTTGTACAAATTGTACTACATGAACACCTTTTCGAATGGCGGAATACATGTTGCTGCTTTGTTGATGCAGTTTGAAGGATTGAGATCGAGAATTGTCAGTGAAATAACTAACCGCAAGGCCAAAATTTGAGAACAATTGGCGCAATGTATGGCCCATTTTAAATAACTCAATGCCTTTCCATTGCACACACCTACGGTTATGGTGTATGAAAGGTATGTGCTTTCTATGGCCCATCTTTAAAAAACACCCTGTATAATACAAGCCGTCATTTGCGTGATTGTTTAAAGATATCATGTAATTTAATTTAAAAACATTTGTGCTCATGGAACAAGTATAGTCGTTGTCGTTACATGTACTACGGCGACCTCTACGCGCTTAGCCTATATTTTTATACAAGGTGTTCGAAAAGTAGATATGGAATATCGTATATATCTATTTAATCAAAAATATTTCAAGTTTATATTTTTCAATTTTTGTTTTATTTATTTTTTTAAAACAAAAGAGCAAGTGTTTTATTCTCTTTTAAAAATGTATAGTATACTCTTGCATCGGAAAACCGCAAAAAACCTGCGCGTGGGTGTATTTCAACAACGTTCAATAATACTCATTAATCTAGTCAGCCATGAATTGTCAGTAGTACGCGAACTTGAAGTAAAACGTTACTAATTTCATGGGTGACTAGATTAATGAGCATTGCACCATTTGTTGAAAGTACGCGCAGTTTTCGGTCGACAAATAAGAAGTTTACCTTTGCGCAAGCGCGAGTGCAGCGTTAAACATGTTTATTATATGAGTAGTTATCCTGTTTTTCACAAGCGATATCGTCAAAGATAAAAACCGAATTAGGTTTGGTCGCATTGAGTTCCATGTCTGCGTTCTTACTAAATGTGAAGAAGCCGATATCCTTCATCGGTTGCAAAATTTCCCTATATTTGTCCTGATTTAGCGATTTAGAATAGACGTACACGTGTTGGGCTCAGTTAGCAGACTGAGCATCGTGTTCGTTTTACCGCAACTGGACGGTCCGCAGATTAAGCATCTTACATTGTTTGGAAATAACTCGCCATGTTTTTCCGCTCTACATTTGGGGTTATCCAGATTGTGAATGGGCAGCCTATTCTCCTGTGTCACTACCTTCATTTTAGGGGGCGAAATTTCCAGCTTAACCGTCGAATGCTTCAGAGATTCGTTTTGTCTCGAACAGTCCAGCACAAATATTGGGCAACTTTTAAAATACAAATAGTCCTTTGCGTACTAATCTAGTCGAAAGTTTACGTAGTTTTGGTATGCTGTTATGTACTTATTTGCATTAACATTTAAGTGCATCGCTTCGTACGGATAACTTTCAGACTTAAGATGCAGTTTAAGATTTCGAATTTTCACGTTATCGAAACCGCCCGCTCTTGCCTCATGCGAAAACTTATCCCGCTACGTTGAAATGCCACAATTGCCCATCGCGTGTTTTCTGATTGGGTTGAGGTCTTGATTGGCCATAATCCGATTGTGCCCGTGCCTGTCTTATAATTGTTGCACTCTTATTGATCCGTTCGTATAGGCCAATTTTGGCACAGTCGCTAAACGTCGCGTGCGGAACTTTCCATTAAATTGTATTTAACGTTATTACTGCATCGTCGGCGGTAACAGTCGGAATCGCTTCTAGCACCAATTCTTATCGCATGTTTGCAGAACTTGGCTTGTGCTTTAGCGGTATACATACAGCGAAATGTTTTTCTATGTTGCTCTTGTTGTAATCTACTTGAACGGATTCGTTTGTAGGTGACCATCCCAAATGCTGCATACCTTTGCTTTCGGTAGACGTATACGATACGTATCCTTTGAGTGAGGATGTAATTCCAAGATTCCTAGACACGTCCACTTTTTGTCCTCCCAACTCGTACCCGTACGTGGCGGTTATCAGTTCTTGATTTTGAATTAATATTCGGATTTCACTGGTGTAGCAGAAACTTCATTTAAAGGTAATGTAATTTAAAATGTAAAGTTCAAAAATACGCGGGTATTGCCCGAATGTGCAAACTTGTTTTTGCCGTAGTGAAAGCAGGCGCTGGAAAGGTTAGAGGAAAGGGAATTTGATATTTTATATTGCAACGTAGCACAATTAAGAGCAAAATTTTACGCACTCTAAAGCCTTGTGGTTTTGGTCAAAATAATTTTTAATTATTCCACGCCAGCGCCTGGTTTAGGTATGAATTTTTCAGGTCATTATAGTTACACTAATGTGTTAAAACTTTTAGTTTGTAAAATCAAAAATAAAGCCAACTCGTCCTGCCATCTTCTTTCAACAACCCAACCCACCTACCAAGCTACCGGTGCACTGGAAAACCCAAAGTTCGAAGATTCTCCGTGTGAGGAATAGGTGTGAATATCGGATTAATTACGGTTTCATCAAAACGTGCGCTTTGAAAGACCGTTAACGAATCTGCAACCGCCTTGTTATAGCTTAGCACATCTTCAATATCGCGATAGATGTTGTCGTCGTACTCCTCCTCCTCGCCACCAAACTCCATTTTACGAAAGTGACGGTAGTTAATAACATGTTCGTTCAAATCTTGATAGAAACAGGACCAGTGTATGATTCCAGTAAATCAAATCGATAGTTGATTATACCTTTGAAATTAAACAGTTCTTCAATATCGTTCTTTTCCAACGTGCAATGTTGAGAGGTACTGATGCCACATTGTATTCTTACACTCTTCAACATTTTCAACCCCCTTCACCGACTCCCAGTTATAATAGAGGGTGATATTACGTACTATTAAGTGACTCCGAACTTTGATCTCTTTCCGCATCTCTCTCTTTGTTGAAATCTGACCTATCTATCTATTTCAATCTATTGTGATCGGAAAAACTTTGCCATTTTAAGTGTCGCCTAACCTTCTCTTTTCAATTCGTAATGATCAGCAAACGATTCTATTTTCGGTGCAAGTGATACTGAATACAGCTGTTGTTCAAAGTCAAGTCGTTACTACTACAATAATCGTTTGTTAACGACAATATAAAGATATGACTCCTTAAACACAGCTCCTTAAATTCATACCTACAATCAGCAACTACAACTAAACCAAAGAATACTTAATACTCTTTGACTAAACATAACTCGCTCCTGCGCCCCCTTCAGAGGCTGCAACCAGCATTGTCTGCGCTCCTACTATAAGGGATCCCAGGTAGCACATAATCTTGGCATTAGAAAGGGGATATCTAGGCCCAATATAAATATGTTGGCGCAATATTGCATATCGTTTTCTATATTGGACCTACATGTTAAAATCTCTGTAAATTTCATATGGAACATCATCAATGTTACACCTATATATGACATATATTGTAAATCCAACATTTTAAAAGTTTATGTTGGATCAATATAGAATATCTAATATAATTCTATATAGATAATTCTGGTATGGGCGCAATCTGGAATAACCAATATAATGTTATATGGATATTTCTAATAATGGTTCAATATTGGTTTAACGTTATGTAACCAACATTGTTTATATCGACGTTGTACATATATTGTTTAAATCAATGTACAAAAAAACTATATACGCGCAATGTTGGTCAGTCAATGTAGTCTCACACGTATGTTTCCAATATTGGTTTAATATTGTATAGTCAATATGTTTATTATATCGATATTGTCGGTATTGGACCTATGTTGTTTTAATCGACATAGAATAAAACAATATTGGCGCAATGTTGGTCTAATGTTTGAATTCGATATCTTATTATATTGATATTATCGACATTGGGCCTATATTGTATTAATCAATATAGGAAAAAATATATGGGCACAATCTTGGGCCTTTATGTAATTAAAAACATGAGACAGCACTTTTAAGTATAGCATCATTTCGGAGAGTTTGCGCACCGCTGCATAAGCACGCCATTAAGCATATCTACCTACACCACGGTGACATACTTGTTTACGTGATCTGTGTGATTATGAATGCACTTCATTTCATTTTGTATTTGTAGATGTGCAAGTGTTAGTATTGTCAGCGAGTATTTGGTGACTTTCTTTATTTGTGCATCCTGTGAGAAACTGAGAATAAAGGGTAAGTACCTATTATATAGGTATTATCTTATAAGATTAAGTTTTTTGGTTTGGTAATGCTTGCATAAACATTTAGATGTAGGCACGAAGTAGATTTTGTGCTAATAACCAGATATTATATCAATTTTCATAAGTAATTTTTTAATCTTTGATATTGTTTAGTTACAGTTAAGAATACATTCCAAGCTGTTGGGTCTTGTGAGTGGGACTTTCGCATCTGCTGCAGAATAGGACGGGGGTCGCAAGGAAAGGGAAAAGTATAAATCGTTAATTGTAACATCTTTAGTTTTACATCATTTTCTTTCTTTACAGAATAAATTCGATATTCCGTTTTCCTACGCTTTTCAATTTACCTGATATTTTATTATGTTGTACAGTTACATACCTAGAACCTCTGGTTTAATATCGTCCAACATTATTGATTCGGCCTTGTGAGAAAATATTGAATCAAGGTTTAATAGCTTTCAAATTCTATGTTGGTGTTGGTTAGATTACATTATTCGCCCAATATATCCATTCTATATTGTGGTAATATAGTTCAACAATATTGGCCCATGTTTACAAAGCATTTACATCCTATATTGGTCCGATGTAGGCTGCAATATTTCCCCGATATTGTAACTATGAGATCGGGCCAATGTAGTATAACAGTATTGGTTTTATATTGTAAGTGACATTGAACCAATATTGTTAACTATATTGGCCCAATTTTTAAAAACGTTCACATTCTATGTTGGCGCAATATAAAAATACAATATGAAGTCAATGTTGCGCCAGTTTATAGCCATTATTGCTTCCATATTGCGTGCTACTTGGGGAGCTACAACAACCTACTACACTACATAAATAGAAAACAACAACAAAAACAAACAAAAATAACATTACTTTTTAGCATTTGCGTTCGGACGTTCATGTTGATATTTAAAAAAATCTTGCGTTTTAATGTCGGTAAAAATCCGTTTGGCAATTACTTCAAACTCAATTACATCAATTTTTATACGGCCTACCTCTATATTGCTAGTGCAAAAATCTACCCAAGTAATCTATGTAACGATCTGTATCTGATTCTGTACATATTACAGTTAGTCCAGTAAAATTAGTGCAATTTTGGACAAATAAAAACATTAATTGGTAAAGATCTGAATTTTGGTATACACATTTATTGGGACTTTCTATTGAACATACTAAAAGTCCCTGTCAAAATCTGTTGCGCTCGAGACGCCATCTTGGAAAAACAGTACACTTTTCCAGTTTTTTGCCCATGTCTCGGCAATTATTACTGATACGAAGAAATAGTTTACATGAAAAATATAGTTTACTAAATTCCCTATAAAAAAGAGTATTTACATTTTTTTGTATCTCCAGTACATTAGCTGTAATCTCACGTTGAATATGTCAGAACGCGTTTAGGCCCCGTATCGTAGTTTTAGAAGGAGGCCGTCTTTTTTATGACTACACCGATAGCTGTAACAGAGCCAAATAATGAACAGAATCGTCGTGCGATACAGCATTCTAGCAATGACATAACATTTTTTTTCAAAAAGATAAGCGAAAATGTGTAAAAGTGTTGGAGCAACGAAATGATTTCTGAAGCTGAAGAACGCCCTTATCTGCATAAGTATAACGTGCCTGCTAGTGAGAGATATTAAAACCGACATCGTTATCAGACCTTCAGAATTACCTTAACTCTGTTCGGACACTGAAGGCTCCCAGTCCACACTCAGTGCTCACATTGAAGATGAAGTTCTATTGAGAGAGAGTTTTATGAGAAACCTTATTAAACGTGTCTCATACCAAGCTTGGGTGCGACGACTTCGCATATATAAGAAATACTGGTAGAATTTTCAATGAATTTAATGATTTGTAAAAAGTTGTAAAAAAATATCTGCGCGACTGTTTCGAGAGCTCAGGCTACTTGATTCCCTATTCGATATCGGATTATAGCTAAAGTATTGGACATACAAAAAAATGTTAATATGCTTTTTTATGGGCAATTTAATAAACTATATTTTTTATCTGAACTATTTTTCCGTATCAATAATTGTTGCCGATATATAGGCAATAAACTGAAGAAGTGCTCCTCTTTTCCAGGATGGCGCCTCGAGCGCAACAGATTTTGACGGGGACTTTTAGTATGTCCAATAGGGAACACTAATGAACATGTGTACCAAAATTCAGATCTTTACCGATTAATGTTTTAATTTTTTCTTATTTGACTGGACTAAGTTATAGGACAAGATCCAAAAATATGAAAAGGAGAATCTATATTTCAACTCACCTGAAAAATTTTATGATCTTCCTTTCCGTAATATTTTTTAGTGATAAGTAATTTAGTCGAGAGCTCCTCAACATCATCATCACACGATTTCAAATCAGATTCAAAGGTATCCATAAGGAGATTGAAGGAGGTAAAGTAATCAGTTTTGAAAAATATGTGCCATACTAAACATACTGGAATCGTACTAATATTTTTTATCTTTAACATACGACTTTTCGGTTCGCTCAGGTAAGTGAAGGTTCCAAACCTATAGAAAGATAAATGACACCCTTCAATTATAGCATCCCACTTTTACAAATCGTCAAATTATTGTAGCATTTTTGTGCATATTTTGTGCTTTTGTGTGCATCCATCACAAAGTATTATGAAATACATCACGTTTGGAACATCTCCCATCGTTTCCTATGGAGAAGACACTGAAAAACATTTGCAGTTTGGAAAAGACTATTATGCGGCCTATAAAGAAAAGGTGGACACATAATTCAGCACGAAAAAAAAAACGAATTCTTCCCTCAATGAGAGGTGATGCGTAACCTGAAAGTTTTAGATATCTGAAAAGAAAGTCATACCAATCTTGCGATTAGGGGTAGACAGATCAGCACAAAACTATTACATAGGGCTAAGGAGAGAATAACAAATATTGCCTAAAATGTAACCTCCTTTAACAGTACTTTCCAGTATGGTCCTGACTTTTTAATTGCTTCTGGAGTCTTGAGATATAGCGTGATTGTCTAAGGTTATGGGAAACGTTTAGTTTATGCAGCATTGTTTTTCTACACTATGGGATTGAATAGATGGGAAATTGGTCAATGGGGATTTAAGTTATAGCTGTCGACAGGCTGAATTTGAGTGAAATTTTACGAATTATTAAGTGCACCCTATACAACTTTCTCCAGAAATGAAGTGAGACGCACATAACTTGGATTGGTGCACAAAATGGCACATTTTTGCGATTTACTAAGGTGCAGTTGTCACTCCACCCACCTCAATAATATAACTACCATTTTATTACGGACAACTTACCTCATAACCGTTTCATCCAGTATGGAATTAAGTGACATCGGAAACTCAATGGGAGAACCAACAACCTCAATTAACATATTAAAAGTAAATACCCCAATACTTTCTACCATGATAGCTATTTCCTCAACATAAATACCCCAAGTGTTCGCATAAATCCATAAATCAATTTCAACCGGAGTCTTAATCTCGATAGTTGCGCATTGGGGTGATGGCCTAACCGCAATACCGTAGTCGTTAACTAACTCTTCCCACTCATTACCTGAAAGGCGCTCTAAATTATGCAGAAACAAAGCAAAGGTGTTCACCTCCCTGTTTCAATTTTAAATCTACAAGCAATTGGTTGAAGAGCTTCTCTCTGGTTCTTTCAGTCGGTTTGGAAAGGAAACGTTTGGCACAGACACTTACAGCACTGGGAATTGGAGTGACATTTTCAATAATTATAGTCGTTTTTGCAACTGTAAAATCGAAGCATGCTGAATTAATTACAGTAAATCTAAATCCCTAACGTTTCTTCACAGGCACCAATTTCACTTCCGTTACATGCTCGTGCAATGTTAAATTAGAACCAAAGCATGTTTGCAAAAGAATGTCGGTTGGCGGTGTTAGAGAATCTGTGTCCATTTCTTCATCTACAAATGTGTCCCAAAGAAAATCCGATTCGGAAGAATTGAAGTGCATTTCCTCCAACAATTCGACTGTTCCATTTGATTCTACTTCCAAATCTAACTGAAGGTTTTCAGCACTTAGATTTGGGGAACCTTCTTCACTCTACAAAATTATACCAAGATCTCGTACAGTTCTGAATGATTAGCTACCAGGGTCACTTCGCCAGCAATACTCGAATTGCATATTTGTAAATCTTGCAATGTAGACGGCCAAACTATTTTCTCCATTGCGTCATTTTGTTTCGGCAAATAAATATTTAACCTGATATTGTCGACAACACACATTACTGTAAGAATCGCTGGTTTTCTGTTGTGGTTCAAGAAACAGCGAATTTGTACATCTTCGATTATTCCGGGTTTGAGAGGAGTCAGGGACATCAGGACATGTGTACACTTTTCTGGTGGAATAATTCCAGATTTCGGCTTGAAGATCACCTCGATACAGTTGGCTTGATAACCTCTTGGAGTACCAAAAGTAAAACTACCGGCCAGTTTCCTATCAGTGTTATGCACACATAGACAGTAAGAAGATGTGCATCCCAAGTACAAAAGCTTCCCTGGAAAAATGGTGGGGAAACTGGGCAAGTTGCAATGAAGTGTAAGTTGGGGTTCGGCAACTTCATACAGTACTAAAATGATAGACTCCATTGTGACTAAAGACGGATGAGCGGATGCTAAGATAAGAAAAGAAAACCATTTGCAGTTCTCCTAAAAATATACAAGTAAAAGTACCTTATTTCAATTTTTATTTTACCGTCGGATGTGAAATGGTGTAACTGATTTTCTTCGATTGTCCTTTCGCTAGCACTCCTCTATTTGAAGATAAATGCTCTAAGGAATTTTTATAAAATACGCTCCCCTTATTAAAATCATAGAAACATTCCAAAATGAACCATTCTACCTTGTCCTCCCCTTTATTTATAACACTGAAAAATTTTGGGGGCACGTTTTTACCTTTCGGTACGGAACCAAAATTGAGCATGATAGTTGAAAATACGGCTCTTGGCTTGACTACTTTTACAACCACATCCAGGGTTTTGACATACAAATCTTTCTCGACCTTGAAGCTGTATAACTTATTTGATAATCAATGCGATCCCCATTGTCTTACGTTAATGTTTCGTTAATGTCTTCGTATTGGCACACTACAATTCTCAGTTTACATGTGAAGACGCCTTTTGACTTTAGTACAAAGGAAGTTGGATGCACGCGTATCACTTTATGGTTTGAAACCTGCCACTCGCAAGCCATGTCTGTACTTGCATGGGAACAAACTTCGAATTTCTGTTGGAGACTGGTATGAATCCTACAAATTGAATTCTGTTAGGACATTTTACGCGCGCGCGTTTATATACTTACTCAATATTTTGCTCGTATCTTATTTCAGGAGGATTGAAAGTAACTAGTATTTCCTCAAAATTTGCAATTATCTCTATTTCAGCCACTACCACGTCTAACATCTGGAAAAATTTAAATAATCAATTAGTGTTTTTACTGACCGCTTGTAATGGCCGAGTATTTTCCCACGTGAATTCAATTTGCTTTTATAGAAGACATCTTATTCCGAGGAAATTTGAGAACTGGATCACAAACAAGAATTGTAAGTCTGTGATTTTCTTGCTTTTTTTTGTCTGCGGATAGGTACACACTCAATTGTTTGATGTGCGTGTAATTTATTTTTTTTGTCAAACACCTTCCTGTATTTCAAGAAAATCTGCCCATAAATTAGTGAATTGGGTCTGCGCATGCACAATTTTTTGACACGGGATTTCAAATTTCTTTTATTGGAAATATTCATTGATTGGAAACACCTTCGGAAGAATTGGGTCATGCGATTGATTCTCACAGGCCGGTTCCTTTAGGAATATTATAATTACGTTAAATGTCTTATACAAATTCCTAAAAATAATCCAAGATCAATCATTCAAAGTAACTGACAGTTATTGATTAGACTGTGGTACTACTTTCAAAATATTTGGTAGTAATATGTTTCAGAACATTCTCTATTTGTTGATATCATTTTTTTACGATAGTATTTCGTTTTTCTTAAAAGTTTATTCTCTTACACAAAATTACTGAGAACTGGAACCCATAATTTTTTTACGATTCACACAGCTAGAAGTTAAACTCGGTTTTCTGGCCACTACCATTGCTAATATAGATTTGTTGAATATTAGGTTTTCACTTTTCTTAGTTACCACCCCCTTTTTTTGTGTGAAGACGATTTGCGAAATAAGAAGAATGGGATAAACATAATCCAATAATGCTCGTAAACAATTTGTTTATTATTTTATTATACTAACAACATTTTTTCTGCTGTATCAGTTACTCTATAATATAGGTTCATCTGCTACCCAAATCCATTCTAATTTTAAATCAAGTAAGCAGCTCGGCAGGTTTCGGTTTGCTTAGGCATGTATAAATGTTAATTTTGACTTGAAACCGATTTTTGGTGTAAATGTTACTCAAATTCTGTTTGTTTTGATTACATGGTCTTGACTCAAGTTAAATTTATAAATTTTGACCGTTCTTTTAAACATGTGGAAATTATTGAATTGTTTGAAGTATGACTGGGTGTAGTATGGACTTGTTGTAAACTAACACTTTTCGCCTTGAAGAGACAGTCACAGGAGTGGTGAAGAACTGTAACCAGATTAGTTACGACACCTAATGCCGGGACTGTTCTCGAATCTCAACTATAGACTGAAAAGTCCCGCACGAGGGTCCATATATTGGTACCGGTTCCACGCATCGAACTCTAATAACACAAAAACTTTCCGGTGTAGAATCTGAGTTGCAATTCACTACAATTTCCACATTGAATTTGCCCTCCAAGGCCATATAAACTTTCATCTTGCTTTTAACAGAAGAGTTTTATTGCAAGATGAGTCACTGTTCTACAGGTACGTTGTTTTCTACCTGTTTGATTCCAGCCAGTTCTTTGTTTTGCAATTTGCTTTTAACATGTTTTGTGTATGCAATTCTTGCTTTATTATCAACCATCTAATGAAACAAACATTTTCACTAAATTGCTCATTCGATATTATTGATTACTCCAATAACTGATCAAGACTTATTCAAAATGCGAATTCATATTACGCAGAGACTTGCTATAACATATTACGCCATTGTACTGTTTTATTTTATGTTCCTTCCCTACTGTATTACTTGTAAGTATTGTAATTAAATATAATTTATTTCTGCAAGTCATTACATTATTATGACAACATCAAGACACCAGTAACTTGATACTTTTTACATAATAATAATCTATACTATTATACATCTTCCCTCACAAGTTTAGCCTTTCTGGTTGTTTTATAGTTCTGCCTGAACGAGTAGTTAATTTTGTATTTGTCTCTGATGGTACAAATGAGGGACTATGTTTACAAATTTCAGGCTTAGGTACAACATGGACATCACTATCAGAAGATTCAGTGCCTGAACAAGATTCAGGTTCAAATGATGTGTCAGTCACTTTAAATGCGTTTTGTGACGGTCTTATATCTACGCGATTTCTTCGTATAGTGTTGCCCTTATAATCCTGTAACACATATGATCGTGGATTCTCATGCATTCTTTCAATTTTGGCGGGTTCCCAAATTTTGCGTTTGTGATTTAACACAGTCACATCACTACCTTCATTAAGTGGTTTTAACGTTTTAGCTGTTCTATTGAAATAGTTTTCATTGAGCTCTCGCTTCTTAAGCATTTTTTGAGTAACACTTTCGCACAACTTAGGCTGTCGTAAATCACAAGTGATTGGAACTTTAGTCTTACAATTCCTGCTATTTAAGAGCTGTGATGGAGAATATCCCATCCCTTTTAATGATGAATTGCGATAGTTCAACAAAGCGCAACTTAATTCGCCTTTGCCTTCCTCTAAAGATTTTTTAAGCAGATTCTTAGCAATCGATACTGCTTTTTCTGCTAATCCGTTTGAACGTGGATATTCTGGACTACGTGTAACAAGAGTAAAATTCCAATCTTTTGCAAATTCCAAGAATTTCTCACTGTTATACGGCACATTATCAGTAAGAAGTATATCAGGGGAACCAAACCTTGCAAAAACTGTTTTAAGTTCACAAATTACAGACTCTGCACATTTATTCTTAATAGGTAAAACTTCTAACCAGTTTGAGTATGCGTCAAACAACACACAATAGCTTTGATTAGCATAAGTAAAAATATCTGAACCTACACGTTCCCATGGTCTTTCAGGGATTGGATATGACAATATATTTTGTTTAGGGTTTTTTCTGGCAAATTTCTCACATATTTTACAACTTTTAATATATGTCTCAATATCTGTTGTAATTCCAGGCCAGTAAAAAACTTTTCTGGCTTGAGATTTTGTTTTTTCCATACCTAAATGGCCTTCATGCAGTAATTTGATCATCTCTAACCTTAGCTTACGCGGAACTACTAACTTATTTTCTAAGAATAACAAATTTTCAAACACAAACAATTTTTCCTTAAGTTTATGATAGACTCTGATATTATCTGGAATTTTACATTTTTGATCAGGCCAACTATTGTTAATAAAGTAAAGAACTTGACTTAGTTGTCTATCTTTCATTGTTTCATTAGCAAATTGTTGAATTCTGTCTTTGGACATAGGTAGGGTTCGGATAACTGAGTGTACCGCAAACTCTATGTCATTGTCTGTCCGGGGTGATGTTTGTCTCAAAAATGCACGAGACAAAGCGTCAGAGATATACATATATTTTCCTGGCCTATATTGTATGTTAAGATCATATTTCAGTAATTTCAATCGCATTCTTAAAATTCTCGGTGATGCTGACTGAAGGTCTTTTTTAAATATTGCCTCTAACGGTTTATGATCACTATGTATTTTTGTGGGCATGCCATAAATGAAATAATGAAATTTTTTTACAGCAAAAAGAATAGCCAGAGTCTCTTTTTCAATTTGAGCGTAAGCTTGCTCAGTTTTTGTCAAGCTGCGAGACGCAAACGCTATTGGCCTACCTTGTTGCAATAGACAGGCTCCCAGCCCATCTTTAGATGCATCAGTTTCAATTTCGATTGGATATTGTGAATTAAAATAGCACAACACAGGAGCGCTAGTGAGCAAATATAATAAATTATTGAAAGAATTTTTATGCTCATCTTTCCATTCAAAAGTTACATCATTTCTGGTCAAATTTCTCAAAGGAGCAGTCAATTTGGAAAGATTAGGTATAAATTTTTCCACGTATTTTACCATCCCTAAGAATCTTAAAACATCAGCCTTGCACTGTGGAAGAGGCATTTTTAAAATTGCTTCAATGTATTTTTTGTTTGTTTCTATGCCTTTCTTTGAAAAAATCTGTCCCATAAATTTGATACTCTCCTTTTTGAACTGTATTTTGCTTTTGTTGAATTTTATATTATATTGAGATGCTCTTTCCAAAACACCCTTCAAATTTTGGTCGTGTTCAGCTTCTGTGGATCCAGTAACAATCAAATCATCAAAATATAAACCCACTCCGGGTAAGTCACCAAAAACCTCAATATTTTTTTTTGAAATACCTCAGGTGCTGAACACAGCCCAAATGCTAGTCTCTTAAATTTGTATCTCCCAAAAGGAGTACCAAAGGTCATTAAATCAGAACTATCGTTATCTAGCTCAATTTGCCAATAACCGTCTTTCATATCTAGTACGGTAAAGACATTCTTTTTAGATAAGTTTACAGCAATGTCATCACAAGAAGGAATCAAAAAATGTTCCCTCTGGATAGCCTGATTCAAGTCCCTGGGGTCAAGACACAATCTTAGGTCACCATTTGTTTTTTCAACAATCACCAACGGATGTACCCATTGTGATGGTTTATCAACCTTTTCAATAATACCCTTGGACACAAGATCACACAACTTATTCTGTAGTGGTTTTAACAAAATATGTGGGACACGCCTAATTGCATTTATTTTAGGCTTAGCATTTTCTTTCAAAGTTATGTGATGTTGTGTAGGAAACTTTCCTAACCCTTCAAAAACATGCTTATACTTACTAATCACATCATCTATAGATCTAAACAACTTTTGATTTGTTACTGAATCTAGTCTTTTTAGTAACTGTAAGTCTGAACATTCTTGCACTCCCAGAAGAGGAATTTGATCTGCAGCCTTCACCACTATAAATGTTACTTGTTGGTGACAGTTTTTTACAACACAATCTAGTTGAACTTCACCTAAAGTTTTCAATTTAAAGTTCGGGTCGCCATATGATATTAACGTAATATTACTCTTCTTAATTACGGAATTTGGTGCAACTTTCTTCAGAATACTTAAAGGTAATGTGCTTACCTCTGCCCCAGTATCTAATTTAAAAACAACAGGTTGTCCATTAACTAGCACTTCTTTCGTCCACATTGTTTCGGAGTTCTGGTGTTCTGATTTCCTTCCAGACACTGAGCTTACGTAGAACTCAAATTCGCTACTGGTTTCACTACTGATATCGGATTCTGTATTCTTCTGTTCAATTTCCTTCAACACATTATGTACTCTCTTCTTATATTTCTTACTTGTGGGAGGATCAGGATCCCTTTTTCCACTCGTACTAGAACACACTTTGGCGAAATGATCACGGCCTTGACATTTGGCACATGTTTTTCCTATAGCTGAACACCTATTGGGAAATTTGTGCCAGTATCCACACATTTTACACGTTTTCTTCTGATTACCTAAAGTAGTAGTGGCTCGTACAGCATCTACTCTAGATTCATTATCTAGGATTTTCACTTGATCTTTGCTCGTTTCTGTCGCTCTACAGAAATTAATTGCTTTTGTTAACGTAAGGTCAGCTACTTGCATTAATCTCTCCTTACTAGACGTCTCTCTCAATCCTATAACAATTCTATCACGAATCATTTCATCCTGATCTTTATATCCGGTAGTTTTGACAGCTTTCCTAAGTTCCGTCAAAAAACTATCAAACGATTGTCCCTCCTTTTGACATATTGTGTTAAATTTTGCCCTTTCAAATATGACATTTCGCTGTGGCGCACACTGATCATCAAATTTCTTCTGGATTTCCGCTAGGATCTTTTCTTTGCCTGCCTCAAACGTAAAACTATTAAACAAATCCAGTCCGTCATCTCCAATTAACGACAAAAAACATGCGATCTGCACATCCTCATCTTTACTGTCTAGGTTTGTTGCCTTTGAAAACAACGTAAACTTCTGAGAAAACCTCTTCCAATTCTCAGATATATTTCCATCTAAGACAAGAGGGTCGGGTGGTTTGAAATAGTTTTCCATTTTGGCACTATAAGCGGCACTTTTTATCAAGATCAAGCAAAATCCCAGACTAAAATCAAGCTTGAAAATTACTATTCATATACCTATACGCCTTCACTACGCAGGTTCACTGGCTACCTGACACCATGTATTACTTGTAAGTATTGTAATTAAATATAATTTATTTCTGCAAGTCATTACATTATTATGACAACATCAAGACACAAGTAACTTGATACTTTTTACATAATAATAATCTATACTATTATACAGTATTTATTTCAAAGATATGACGAGGAGCACTCTGGTCGATATCATTGGCCCGAACGACATAGGGAAGTGGATAAGGATCGTCATACAGGAGGAATGAGAGAGAGGGATACTGAAAGGTGGTCCGAAGATTGGAATGAAACTAGAAGGTACCGTAGAAAAAGGGAGAATGATAGGGACCGGTGGTGTTGTCCAGATTGGGAACAAGACTTAGGAGGTACTCTCGTGCTTTCACATGTTTTTTTGTTAACTTAGTTATTATTAGATCCCTCTGTGGCACGCTACAGTGGAACTAGGTGGAGAGATCGTAAGCACGAAGAAAGGTACTATGCGCGGGAATCCAAAGAGTCGCCCTGGGAAGAGGATTACGCAAACGATCCGGAGGAATCGCATTCGCGTTATCTTATGGCCAGCAAAAGGAACTGGAAGAGGCCAAGTAGTGCGTCGGAAATGGACCGGAAGACAGGTGAGACTAAATCTCGTATCGGCCCATACTATACGGGCACAGGTAAGCATTTGAATATCTCGTGATGATGTAACAGTTACATTTCTCCTAAGGAGGGAGTGATAGCGAGCGCGATCGTCGATACAAGACGGGCAGAAGGTCGAAAAGCCGAGACTCTCAATTCGCAGAATCTCAACCTCGGCATAAAATTGATCCCAATTTGACTCTGAGGGGACCTTATCGTACAAAACAGTATTTGCACCAAAAATCTCCTTTAGAAATGGAGTTTGCACACGATTTTCCTCCCAAAAAATTAGAACCTTCGAAAGGCGACCTGGGCAGTAAACGATTCGTGATGGTCGGCAACCGTAAAAAAACCAAAGAGATTTCTAAGACTGATCCATTGCACACCTTTGTGCGAAAGGCTACATTTGAAAATAATTTTACACCTTCAGAGACTGAAAGTCCCGTATCTGCTAATATAAGTCCTAGATTTACGTTTGAAAACGACTTTGAAACTTCCGAACCTGAATCTTCAGTGGCTTCGAAACCATCGAAAAGCTTACGCCATCAAAACCTTTTCGAAAACACTCAAAGAACCAAACCACGATTGAGGTACGACACGCGAAAAACAAAATTTGAGGAGGATACACGAATTTCGCCTTCACGAAGTACTCAAAAGTCGCCGTTCGAAGATGATTTCTCGCCTCCTGTTGAAAAATCCGAGGCGCAACTTCACAAAAATCTAAGTAAATCGAGTATTAAAGAAGAAATTGACGTAAATGAGGAAGATGATTCCTTTTCTACAAATAATTTCGATAAAAATACCATTAGAAAGAAAATCTTGAATAAAAATAGACTTTCCAGCAGCTTTCACATAGACTCAAACCTCAAAAAATCCGAATCTGTCAATATTTTTGCTAGGGAAAGCGATCCATTTGATGACGAGTTTTTCTGCAGTAGAAATATGCACGAATTGGAGGACGTAGATAAATCTCGAAATCCTGAACAAAAGTGGACTGAGAAATTTGAAGCGCTCGACTTCGAAGGTCGAAAATAGGTAATTTTCCATTATAATGATATGCCGCGGGAAAAGTAGGTTTTTACAGCATTAAGCAAAGCCGTTGTATATACACGTTAATTATTCCAGTGTTTATTTCTTTTGTAAGAACCTATTTTTGACGCATTTAGGATCTTTTAATGTTATTTATTACTGATAGGTAGGAAAACTTAATACTCGATTGTAATTTGTTATTTATGTACCTAGTACGTTATATATTTATATACATTTTTTTATTTTAAATTACATCCTAACACACGACCTATTTTTAAAATCTCTCTTTTGGAATTTTTTATGAACGTAAATTATTTATTTTCAATTGTCATTTATTATAAGAAAGGAAAATGTTCCGCAAATAATTGTTATTTAATTTTACTTCCTAATAAATGATAAATATGTATTGCTGTCTCTGTATGGGAAACAGTAAACATTTGAATCCTTTTGTAGATAATTTCTTTTGGACAAATAATAGACGAGATTAGTATAATCGCAACTCATGTATCACACATAAATTTTAAACCGAAGAGTTTCTATTAGCAGAATCTCGCCCTCGACATAGATAACGCGCCCCTTGTCCGGAGTTTCCGAGTGTACAGTTGATTTTAGAGGTCAGTCTCGGTATTGAGTGTCATAACTCATTTGGTTGTAGTTTTTGCAACCCCCGTGACTGTCATTAACGGAGAAAGTGTTAGTCCACAAACAACAAGTCTGTATATACATCAAACAATTCGATAACTTCCACATTAAAAGAATAATCAAAATTTTTATGAATATTACAAATCATGTAATCAAAACGGAAAATAAATCAGCATTACTGTTAAATAAAATGTTAACAGTATCAAATACGTGATTATGCATTGAGGTTATCAAGTCAATTTCAAAAACAAACAGAAAATTATAAAGAAATGCAAAGATTACTACCACCATGTACAGTAAATTAGGCTCAAATAAATGAAAATGTTTATTAGGTATACAAAAGAACTTACAAACCATATTTTGACATTAATTGATTAGCTCTATCTACACCTGTTGCTCTCATATACTCGGCCAGCTTGATCAAATCTAAAACAATAAAAAATTAACTTATCTTCACTTGCAATATTACTACCTTTTTTATCTGAATCTCCCATAAACATTGACAACATCGAAAAACGTTTCACTTCTGACAGCTTTAAAAGGTACAAGTACACAGATTTATCGCCATTCTCCACAAACATCTCCGCCAATGTGTGAATAATTCCACTGAAAATGTCGCAGTCTAAAGACTCTTTAAATAACGACGGAATCTTATCGGGATTAATCTGTTTTAAATACTGGTATTGTAATTCTTTGCATTTTTCTAACTGTCGCCAATCAGAGGTAAACTGAATTGACGTTAATGGAACAGACATATTGAACTCACTCGAAATTGAGACTTTATCGTCAACCTTTGCTTTCTGTGTTTCAACTTGATGTGGTTGTGCAAGTTTCCTCTCGACTACTTTTAAGTCATCACATTTTATTAAGGTGGAATCGTTGCCTGGACGAGGCCAGGGTAATGGGGAGTTTGTGTCCTTGTCAGTAACGTCATCGACATCTTGAATTGTTATGCGTCGTAGAGGTTTCTTTGAACGGAGATGAGGAGGTTTATTTATAGCTTCAATTAGCTCAATATCATCTTCACCACTCCAGTATGTCTGTACGGTCGTGGGTTTGTTAGCTGCGGAGGTGTTTTCGACACCGGCCACTGTAGACGAATGTTTCTTTTGCTGGGAAATAGTAAATTTTGATTTTGGTCTTAAATCAGTTGACAATTTGATTATAGGTTTCTTATTAACATTTTCGAGTTTCTTCTCCAACTTTGATAGAGCGGTTTTTGATTCTTTATTATTTGGTTCGTAATCAAATACTTTAAGTAAATCATCGTGTGCTTCGGTAAGCTGATTCAGTGCCTCACGTGCAGCCGCTCGACGTTGATATGCTTTAACATAAGACTTATCCAAACGCAATGCTGAGGTACAATCTGTTTCTGCCAGTTTATAACTACAATAAACACTTTATAATACTTACACTTGTAGATATACACTTACTTTTCCTTTTTCAAATAGCACAGTGCACGATTAGCGTAGAAGATTGGATCATATGCATAGCATTCGATTGCTTTGGTATAACACAAAATTGCTTGATCCCATTTATGATGTTTAACAAAGTTATTACCCTAAAAAATAAAACTAAAATGAAATCAACAAAAACTACAATCTACCAAACTTTTTCCTTTTCGTATACAGCCTGATCGTGGGAATCCTCATCGTATTCATCTGTTAAGTCTCCATCCAAATCGTTATCTTTCTCGCTTACATCTAATTTTGCACATTCTGCATCTACGTCGAACTTTTCCCAAGCTGCATAGTCGGAAGCTTTGATTCGTTTCTTCGTTTTCTTTTTCGGTTTTTCAGCATTAGACTCGAGCAGCTCAATCTTTTTCGTTTTGGATTTATTCGCAGCAAGTAGCTGAATATTACAGAAAGTAGGCATACACTTTTTAAGGTTATCATACCTGATCATCTGGAGCGGTGTCGCATTTTAAAGCCTCGTCCTTATTTTTCATTTCTTCTCCCCATTGCTTTAGATCCGAACAAAAATTAGCTAAATCGGTGGAGTTATCGCGAATTTGCTTTTGCAGTGTTATGGGATCCATCATTTTCAAAAGTTTGATTGATAAACTGGGGGGAAACAAGATACCAATCTGACGGCATTCACTTCATAGTGAGATATACAGAGTGCGCCAATTGAAATGTTAGATTTGATACAATGTAACAGGGATGGGGAAATAGCGGCCTGCGGGCCAAATCCGGCCCGCGGGTAATATCAGTCATTTATTTTCATAAAAACAAATTTATGAACAAATTGACTGAGGAACACCTTGAGAGCGTTTTGCGAATTTCTTCCACTATTTTCAGCCTAATTTCGACGCTATAATGAATGAACAGTCAAAATTTCATTTGTGACACTAACCTAGGACATTGAAACAATAATTTTTGTCAAGCTGATTTTTTGTTACTTATATAATAAATCCTCTTTGGCCCGCTCAAATGCTGTAATTATTTTATGTGGCCCTCTTTTAAATTTATTTCCCCATCCCTGAATAATGACTTGCTTAATCTTCAAACATTAGAGTTTTGCGTGACCTTTTTGCCGCGAAATTTTGTTTCTTTTCCCATAGTATCCACAATTATTTACACTTATTAAATAGTGCTACTTCACAAACAGTTAAACCTGAACTTGACGGATGTTGTAATAGACGATTGAAGGTAATTATTATGGTTTCATGTTGATGTATGCGGTTATTGGGACATTGATTTATTTGCAGCCCTCATAACTAAATCAACATTCTGAAATGGACAATTAAAAAGAAATTAGAAGTGAGTGTGATACATGGCGATTGGTATTTCACAGTTTTTAGTAATTCAAATCCTATGCAAATTGGATTGCATTTGTAAACCGAAACAGTAAGACTCGAATAACGCTATCCGGATGTAACTATTATTGTATAAAATTTTTTAATATAATTCCTCATCATATAGGTACGGACATTACAATATAGAAAATTTAAGTTAGTCTTGAAAACGTATCTCATTAGTAAATGTTTTTATAATATAGGCGAATTCATTGAAAATGACTTTGGGGATTTATAGAAGTTACTTTGTCTGTTAAATATTTATTTATAATGTTTGTGCTTTCATGTTAAGTGTATTGAAATTGTAACTGTTTTATATACTATATATCTGACTACTGACAAAGTGTAAAGGTTATGCCTACTAACACAATAAAGATTATTATTATTATAATGTATTGTTCTATTATGGAATGGTAGTTGCTAGGGAATGCAATACCGGGATTGCGGGATCCCGAAATACCGGGATCCCGCAGCATTTTTGCGAGATTAATCCCGCACATAAATGGAGCGGGATCCCGCGGGATTTGCGGGTCTGAGGAATTTGTCGACCAAGGGGACGACTCTGTTTACTTTGTTAATGAAACTGATAACGGCGAATTATTTTTTAAATAATCGTTAAACTTTTTTCGTTAAAAATGTCCTATGATTTTTGAGGCACTTTAGAAGACATTTTGTGCTTTACAGGTAAGGTTTTTTTGAGTTCTAAGTTAGGCCGAAGGTACTTTTTTGTTTAATATTGTGATAATTAGCGATTTATTTTAATACAGAAGTTAACCGCACAAAATTGCTTATTTGCCAATTTATTTAAAGTTTTGCGAGATCCCGCAAATTTCGGGATCCCGCGGGATTAACATCTAACAATACCGGGATTGAGATTTTGCCTACTAGAAACCAATTTCGAAAGAAAATCGACTGCACCAAAATTTCTCGGGAAAACACTTTTTCTTATTAATTTTGGTGCGTAGAATCCAAAACAATTCGTAATTTTTCGATTAGAGTTCTCAATCAAAAGTTATAGACTAGAAACCAATTTGGAAAGAAAATTCAAAGGGCTGTAACTTTTGAACTAGTAGCCCAATCTTGGAACTGTTTGAAATTATGGGATCTACAGGCCACATTCATTAAGAAAAATTTTTTTCCGGGTCGATCTGAAACAATTTTTTTTTCTGGTCCCAAAAAAAGACAGTGTACAACCTTCCTTTTTTACAAAAAATCGACTGCACCAAAATTTTTCGAGAAAACACTTTTTCTTATTAATTTTGGTGCGTAGAATCCAAAACAATTCGTACTTTTTCGATCACACTTCCCAATCAAAAGTTATAGACTAGAAAAGAAACCAATTTCGTATCACAGATTTAAAATGTGCTATGATATGTTCGTAAGATATAAAATAGTTTTATAGCAATTAGGTAATTTTAAATTAATGTATCGAACAAGAGTAAGATGGGTCATCATATAATGGACATTGCTTGGTTGTTGTTTACGTTGACCTTTTTCAGATATTATGAATGGTCTAAGGAGCACTTAGTTGGTCCACGGGGTGTTTGCCCCGGTAGACTCATTTCGTTTGGATTTTGAGGGAACAACTTAATACAGGTTGTCGCAAATCAAAAGTGCTACATTACAGGGTAGGTCTAAAAGGCCATAAAATGGGTACAATAGGTATACTGCGAAACATCTTACACGTGTCATTTTACTAAGAACCTTCAATACGGTATGTTTACTCAAAATCTATGCCAATTGTTCAATAGTAACGTCGCATTTAAATTAAACAGACGTAAATACGTAACGTAACGTTTGTAATCTTGGAGGTGTGTCGATCATGACGCGTTGAATTTA